AATATACCGTTATTTAGTACATTCACAATCAAAATAATAAATGAAAATAGAAAAGTGCTGTTAAAATTCTAAATTTTCTTTTGTTTTTCATATTTTCTCTTTTTTTTTTACCTTTAATTTTTATCAATAAATTTTTACTTTTCCATATACGTAGGTGTACACATTCATTAGTGTACATATGTATGTATATGTATGTGTATATTTCTTGAAAAATGAAAATTTTGTAGGGGAACACAAAACAAAAAAAAAAAAACAAAAAACCAATAAACAATAAAGAAATTTTGAAAAAAGTTTTGCTAAAATTTTTTTTGGTTACTGTTTTTGTTTTCGTATAAAAGCTATAAAAATGGCAATGACTTTTAAAGATTTTCAGAAAATTTTTCATGTATGTCATGCACATATGAATACTATACAATGTATGCCTTAAAATTGATAAGCAAAAAGTAAAAATTTCGAAAATTTTGCTTTGAATTCGAATGAATTAACTTTGAAAATTTTTCAATGTTTTCTTTTCTACCAATTTAACGAAGCGCTTTTAGAAACAATGCAAAAATGTGGTAAAAATTGATACGATAATAATTAAATAAAAAATTTCTACTATAATTATTATAAAAAAAATCCAATTAAATGCGCAAAATTCTTTACAAATATCGTTTAAATGTTATGATACTTATTCAGAATAGCATTCGTTTCTAATATATTTCAAAGTGATTTTAAGTAAAAGAAGTTTTAAGGTTTTAGATTTCAATTAATTCAACTAGTTCAATTGTTAATACTTATACATATTTTGTTTTTACCCAACTACTCCTATATAGTAAATGGAACAACGATCAGTGAATAGCTAACCACTCCTCTATAGTGAATGGAGTAATGAGCAGTGAATATATTCGCATTCCTAACACCTTTTTCTTACTGAAGGAAAGTTCTAATAACGATCAATTATAGAAATAGTAATAAGACTACTATTACTGACTAATAAACACTGGACCTGGTGAAATACCCCTGGGTCTTACATATTTTTTAGGAAAACTTATCACATATATAATAACTATGATATTGAAATATTAAATATAATAACAATATAGAATAAAAACATAATTTTTATTTCACAAAAAAAAAGTATTAAAAAATTTCATGATTAATTCATCGGTCAAAAGTTGAAGAATAAAATAGAAAATTGTTCATAATTATTGAACATAGCAAGATTAACATCATATAAAGCTATATATCGGATGATTCCTTATTAAAATTATTGTTTGTATATAGTAGTTTCGAGCGTACAACAACACACTGCTTCAAATAATGTGCAAAATATTAACCAAACGATGAATTTAATTAGCCCAAAATTTTGATGCATTTTGCAGTAATTCAAAAGATAAAAAAATGTAGAGGAAAACAAAATTTTGGTACTGTATTGATGTGTCATCTGTTGTTAATTTTTTGAACAAACTTTCTTAAAATGCTATTTATTATTATTGTATTTCAAGTCTTGTGGAATTTTATTTAAAGCCTTATTACTCTTTTTTTAAGTAGCATGAAATTAAAGCTCTCAACTGACCTAGGTAAAAATTAATAGAACAATTTATAAGTAACGATTGTAGATAAGAGCAACGATTTTCGGGTAATGATATTTTTTTTAAAAACATGCGGAGATGGAAAAACTTGCTTCAATGACATTAGACCTGATGAACCATCCCTGTATAAAAAAGACATTTATAAATTCGTGATCTTTACAAATACATTTTTCTAACATACTTGAATCTCTAAAACATTTCATATTTCAAATTAATTAAACTTTAAAATATTAATATGTCACATTTTTAAAACAGACAAGTTCTTTCAGAATATAAAGCTTAACAAAATGGTAAATTTTTATGAGTATTTAATATAGAAATGAAATTAAAACTCAAATATAAAAATGGCGTATACACAAATAACATAAAATATCGAGAAAATTTTTAGTAAAAGAAAATTTTTGACAAAATCCGCGGGTTAAAATATTTGCTACAGTTATAATACTGTCATGGCAATATTAAAAATTAAATAGACCTAACCAATTTTATAATATTTCACGTGATACATACAACATATTATTTGTTATTCAAATATGAACTATAATTTTAAATTAATAATTACTTAAATAACCCTACACAAGGAAATGTCAGTGTAGGCACTTTAATAAATAAAATATAAGAATAATAAAATATCAAAATATTTTTAAACTCTTATCAATAATTTTTAATAATATATTTAATATTTATATTATTATATTTATTTTGAATATTATTTAATTTCTCCGATAAGGAATAATCAACGAAAAGAGAAAAGAAGTGACAAATAAAATAAAGTAATGATTTTTTTAATGTTCTATACTCATATCAAAATTTCATACTTTCTCATATATAAGAATATTAAATTAAATAATCAAAGTCTATTAAGTTATCAGTAGGTGTTTTTGTTACAGTTCATAAAGGTCTCTATGAATATTTAAAGGAAATTTTTAATTATTATTATAATTAAACAAATGTATGTATATATATATATATTTGTCCAATATGTATAGAGAAAAATAGAATTTCAGAAAAAAAGAAAATATTCAAATAACCAATTTATTATTTTGTATAAACTATAATTGATTTTGATATTTTTTAGTGAATTTGTTCAAAATTAAAAAATCCCACGCTTTAATATAAATGACTTATGCATAAATGCATTTACAAATTACATCACAAATAATTATGAAGATCGTTAAATTGCAAATGTTATTCAAAACAATTATAACTTAATTATAATCTATAACTTCACAAACACGTATACCCAATTCTTGAGACGCTTTGTGTAAATATTTAAGTGTACCCACATTCACTTATTGAACTAACAGCTATGACATCAGACTCATTAAGGGACTTAGAAAGGTCTTATTAGAATATTTCGAGTTTTTCGCAAAATTCATTTTGTCGAAATAATTAATCAATATCTCGAATGAATAGAGAATTAATATTATTACATTTATTAATGTTAATATAAATATTAATATCTTTTGAAAGAATTTGTGGACACTGATTTTATATGAAGTAAAAGATTAATAAAACACAGACATTGATTTTATTTTATTGAAATTACAGCGATGTGAAATTGGAAGTACCAATATTTTTGGTACTTCCAATTTCACATCGCTGAAGCCTAAATACCGTTCTAAAAACGATAAAAGCATTTTTGTAATTTATTTTAGATTTTCATAAGTTTCGAATGAACGAAATAAGGAAAGTTGTGTTGGTAAGAATTGTCGCTTCAAATTGAGGGCCAAATTTCCCTTATTACGCATATTATTACGCACGTTATATTTTTATCTGCTTGATAAGGAAAATAATTCCAATTTCCAATTTTCATCTAAACAAAAGAGTTTTTCCGCCTCTCTTATTCACTTGATTAGATCTGCCAGTATTACTTTTCCACAATTTATTGTAATGAAACCGGAGACATAAGTTTGCAACCACTTAAGTTTTCACTGCAGAACAGCACAGAAAAATTAATGGTTTTCTGAATTCTTCAAACAGTTTTTTAATAAACGCTAAAGTTGCATTGTTTTTTTAAACTTTAATTATCTAATCTAAATTTCCAAAATTAATATTGAATCTTGCGTTTATTTTGTGATAAAACTGTAAACTGCCCCAAATTTCTAAAGGCAAATTTTCTTCCAGCAAACTATTTACGTTATTAACTAATTGAGTAATGCTTCTTTTAATTTTTTGGTTCCTTCTTCAAAAAGTGTGAAATAATTTTTTATTTTTACAATTCTTGTAAAAAATTTCCTCCTTTTTATCACTTTAAAAAAATTTTGAAAAATGAGTTTCACTCTATCCGTCCGTCCGTCCATGAACGTGTTTATAAAACTTCTACACCCTTGAAGATAGAAACCTGAAATTTTATATGTACATAGATCTTTATCAGAAAGTTATTTCTGTAGAACAAAATTTTTACCTATCTCCCCCCTCTAAAAGTTATACCGCCCTAAAACCCTAAAAACGGATTTTTTTAACTCTTTATTACAGTGAAGCCATAAGCATTTTTCAAATTTTGCAAAAGGTAGAAGAGAAAAAAGAGTAGAAGGGCAGAAGGGTAGTGGCTTGTTTCTCCTATCGCGGAATACTATAGTTAAACTTTAAAAACACAAAATGGTTGTCCAAATTTACCGTTATATAAAATTAGTTTTTCAAAGTTCTTGAAGTAATTATTTTGCTTAGATCACACAATTAACCCTTAAAATCAAGCATTATGTTAACCCCACTTTATATTAATTTTTGCCTTATTTCAAAGGCTGCACAAGTGTAGGTTCATCTTAAGTATATGATATCCTAGAAGTAGTTTTGTATATGAACGAAAATAATTGTAATAGTGTAGTAAGTATACATAGATTGTTTTTAAAAGAAAAGTGCTACTATACAAACCATTGGTTTGACCCAACTTTATTACATTTTCCCGTTGCGCAAGCTTTAACTAAGTTTATCTCTTACAGCTCAAAAGATGGAATAAAATAAAACCATTTACAACTTCTTAAAATTTTAATTGCTGAAATAAAGTTTAATTCAAATTTCTGTCACTTTTTTATACAACTACGAAAACAATTACTTTACGAATGTGGATGATTGAAAACATTTCATATTTATTCGGAAACAAAAATATTACGAATAAAGCATTGAAAACCAAAGCATTAAAAACCAAACCAAAGCATAAAATAAAGTAACATAAAAACGAACTTGATAACCTACTACCAAACATTACAGATTTAGCAATTATTTTAATACTAGTTAAGAGTTTTTTATTAGTTTTTTGCTCTTATACTCACGTATACATACGCACGTCCATACACATTGTAATACATATTTGAATTTTGTATTTGAACCCATTTGAATTTGAAAAAGAGTATTAATTATTAAATAAACTAAAATTTTGCTATAAAAGGCTCAAAATTTATAATTGAATTTAGTGTGATAGGAACCTTTCGAACTAAATTTTTCTTAAATATATTTTAGAAAAAACTAAAAAATGAAATATTGCATTATCTTTTGTTTGTTTATTGGAATTGTAAGTTTTTTCTTTACTTATTTTATTTGTAAATAATATGCATCGTATATTGTATACCTTTTGTCAACTTTAAGGCATCTGCACGTCCTCATGGCTGGGTGAAAAAAACACCCGAAGAACTTAAACAAGTACGTGCTGACTGCTTGGAAAAATTCCCTGTTCCAAAAGAAACCCGTGAACTCTTCAAAAGATTTGAATATCCTGATGAAGAAATTGTAGAGAAATACGTTCATTGCGTTGCAGCAGAATTACAATATTTTGTTGAACCTGAAGGTTACATTGATGAACATTTGGAAACACAATTTGGAACTGACAAGACCCCAATAATAAACAAATGTATCACATTCAAGAAAGATCATCCCGACTGGACACTTGGACATTGGGCTTTAAGTGATTGGAAATGTTTAGTTAAAGAAGGTTTGATCACTGAAGAATACAAAAACACTGTTATCGATCATTAAAAATTAATTAAAAATAAAAAAGTTAAATATTATTTCCTTTCCAATTTTATTTCGATTATTTAAATTGAAATTTTTGTATTTGACACAAAAGATTTTTAAGTAATTAAGAAAGACAGTAGGTAGATCGACCGTGTCAACTCTGTTGTACTTGTATGATAAATGCAAGTTAGAGGTTATGATATTTTTTAATTTGCCAATATCCTTTACTTTGACACAATGACTTTGTTATTTTTATATTTCGTACTCAGCTTTTGCATTATAGCCTCACCAAAATCTTAACACCCATACAATCTAAATAAATTTCACTTATAAAAATGGCCAAATTACCATACTCTTAGCAGTTTAACAGTTTCTTAGACAGGACTGGGTTTAAAATAGAGTAATGTTCAGAAAATTTCAACGACTTTTGTCATAAGTGATGATTACTTATTACTATCTAAATATTTTCAATCGTTATTCAATCAATATTTGTTAAAGCTTCAATCAAACTGATACTAAATCTTTTCAATACTGTTACGTCTATAGTTTCTGAGATATGTGCAAGGAGCTTGAGAAATTGTATGGAAGATATCGTAAGGACACATATAATCTTAACAACTTTTACAGAAAATAATTGTCGTTTCAATAGTTTTTCATGTGTAGCTAAATAACTTTTTCGTTATATTGTCATACACTACCCGGATTGAACCGCTCATTTGATCACATTCACTTTAAAAAGAGCTTTTTCATTTATTGATATGTATATACAATCTCGGAAAATTTAGTGAACTTTACACAATTATTTTATAATTTACTGCTTATACGAATTCAAAACATAAGTGCCTATAACTCGGTGATATAAAAAGAACGGGAAATTTATAATACCCTTCTTACATACGTTTTAAAGGGTATAAAAAAATATTGAAATTAAATACTCACGATATTTTAACTATGGCATGGTCATGATACATACACCCATATTCTCTACAAGACGCATTACTTAAAGTAATAGATTTTGTGCGATGATATAAACAAAATGTTTTTCTTTAAGTAAAATCGAAACGCGAAATAATGTTAAAAAGTCCAATGCAGTATCATTTTCATCCTTTTTATTATATATTAAAGAAATTCTCTCACATTTTTCTCTTAATTTTCCATTTTATAAAAGGAATTTAAAAAATTTCACGAAAAAATTAAAAATCTATTAATAATAGCATTGAGGTTTGAAATTTTTTGTACTTTCAAAGTACTACTTCGTTTAAAAGATTCCAAATTTCATTGTTGTTTAAATGTAAATATTTTCAGCGTTCTGACAATCTCAGAATCAAATCTCATATCTCAATCTTTAGTATATTATCATTATAATGGTGTGCAACTACAATAAATCTAATGTGGTCAGCACATAACCGACCGCAATGTATATTGTCTAGATTAGTCAAGGTATTCCAGAAGATAACGAAAATGCGTTTTAAACAGTTCTTTACAATTTTAAAGACACTAATAAGCTTTTACTTATATAGAAAATTGAATTTGTTTATTAGTAGAGTTTCATTTCGTGCCGTCCGAATTATACGAAAAGTTCCTTAGTAACTTCCGGTAACAACCAAAACCTAAATAATAAATTTCAAGAAATTCCATCAATTCGTTCCATAGATACGGTAAAAAATGTAAAATCTGCCCCGATTTGGTTTCCGAGTCTTGATCTTTCCAAAAAAATTTATTGATTAATTGTTTTATTTTAAATTTAAGTCGAATTTAAATATTAGATTTCAACGAAATCGGTCGATTACTTCTCTCTATATACGCAAACATGTATATTTGGCCATAGTAAACGTCCAGTTGCTGATTTCTTCCAAAAGTTAGGAGTTTCCGAGCTCGCTCGAATTAGGCTTACATATGAAATTTCAAGCAAATCTGTTGAATATTTTCTTCATAATGATCAAAAATGTAAAACAGGCCGGCTAAAAAGTGCTGTTCCCGAGACCTTATATATCCCAAAAGTTGATCGTGCCATAGTTGAAATAAACTTATATAAAAAATTTCATCAAAATCAGTTCTAAAAATAGTTTATTTACACTTTCCTACCATGAAGAAGTGCGTACCCACCGAAAACTTGATATGCAAAATTTGTTGCTATTACATAACCTACCTCATTATACATACACAATCCGGGCGGTAAAGAGCGAGAATAGCTAGAGAAAAATCAATTCTGTGATGTCTGCATACAAATGTTTTCTTAGAAGCATAATAAAAGTTGACAAAATTTCTAAAAAAGGTAGAATATTGACTCTGTTACTAAATTTGTTGAAAATTCATATTGTCGTAAGCTTTCACGCAGTTGTTATTAGACGCATTAAAACAGTATACTATTATGGTTTATCGAAATAGTGACCCTGTGCCATTGGCTTCATAGTTTACGAGCAAGGCAAATTTAACCAACTCTTCAACAAAAATAAATTTTAAATACAAAATCTTTACTTTTAAATAAAAAAACTAAAATTTGAAAACTCATTTTAATTACCTAAGCAATTCTATCTCCCGAAAACAGCCGAGTGTGTAAAATAAACTTTATGTTTATTTATGTTCAATGTTTTTTAACGATTCTAGTTTTCTTAAATTCAAAATGGTTACAATTTTCTTTTGAAAATTACAAAAAAAAATTCTGACAAAACTCTAGAGGGTGTACTACGGGGTCTACACAATTTACTTCTTGTTCTTGTGCGTTAAAAATCCTTTCCAAGATGAATTTTATTCTTAACTTAAATTACATATTGAACTAATAAGTTGATTCTTGTTCAATCCGTTTAAATAAAAAGAGGTTTATAAAATTTAACTGTGAAAGCGTATTTTATTTTTTCATAAATTTTTTAATCTCAATTATCAATGTTCTTGTATTCTTCGGTGATTAAACCTTCTTTAACTAGACATTTCCAATCACTTAAAGCCCATTGTCCAAGTGTCCAATCAGGGTGATCTTTCTTGAATGTAATACATTTGTTTATTATTGGGGTCTTGTCAGCTCCAAATTGTATTTCCAAATGTTCATCAATATAACCTTCAACGTCGACAAAGTAATATAATTTCACAGCAACACAGTGGACATAATTCTGTACAATTTCATCATCAGGATATTCAAACTTCTTAAATAGTTCACGTGTTTCTTTTGGAACAGGGAATTTTTCAAAACATTCAGCTCTTCCTTGCTTTATTTCTTCAATACTCTTCTTTTCAAAATCATGATAACGACCAAATACCTAAGAAGAAGAAATTTTAAAAGAATTTAATGTTAAAAAAATTTAAAAACAATTTTGAATTGGAGTTAAGCAGTTTTTCAATGCATGTATTTATTTTGCTATAGCAATAAATTTTACTACATTACTTACGGTTCCTATCAGAAGGCAAATTACTACACAGTATTTCATATTTAAAGCAAAGCGATTATGTTTTTGACCAAAAGTATGTCACAAAGGTATCTAATCAACTAGTTTCTTATTTTATTTTTAAGACCCTTTTATACTTAAATTTAACGATCATATGAACTATTATCAGTTAAAATTTTTTTTTCTTGTTTGTAATATTAAAAATAAGCCTATAATGTGTAAAAATATTTACATAATTATGTATGTTTTACTATTGTAAAAAAAATGAACACGCGTGTGCATATGTTAATGTTGTAGGTTATCGATCGAGTAACTATGAGTAGGTGAATTAAATCCTTATATAATTTGTATCTAATCAACAAGAAAGTGATTCTATTTTTAATAAAAACCGATTCTATTTTTTTGCACAATTTTTTTTTGAAATTGAAAAACAAATACAAAAATTCAAAATCTTTACTGAAAGATGTGACACATAATATACATACAAAATGTTTTTATCAACAATTATTCTAAAATCTTATAATTTAACAAAATAATCACTTATCGACTCAAGTGAATCACAAAAAAAAATCTGATGTGATCAGCACATAACCGACCGCAATATGTATTGTGTAGTTAAGTGAAAGTGTTACAGAATACAGTAATACCCCGCACTTACGTACCCTTTGGGACCGGAGCGTGTACGTAAAACAAAAATGTACGTAGAATGAATCTACTACTTTATTGATGAATAATATGTTTGAAACAAACTAAAACAATAAATATATAAATAAAAAGAAAAAGAGGGATATTATGTATGCAGTTTTATACTTTTATTTCATACGTTTTTATACTATATTTAACACTTAACGTGTATTAAAAAAACAAAACAAAAAACAAATTCATATACATACATATATAAATATCAAACAAAACTGAAATATAAAACATAAACTTCAAAATACATCAATACATAATTTAAATATAAATAATATTGTAATTGTTACGCGAAAGCTCAGAACACTGGAACTTGGATTAGCCCCGGGAGAGGAATGTTTGAGAATGCCGCCAGACCAGTCCAAGTTACCTCCCTTTAATACTGCCATCATTCCCAAAGAGGAAGGAATGTTGATAACGAAAAGTATTTAAACAGAATAAAAAGGGGAAGGGACGGTAGGAGGAAAATAAACGTATTTCTACTTACTGTGCAAGTTAATATTTCATAGAATTATTGTTCAAAGAAAAAAACTATACATAAATAAAAATAGAAAAAATAATTCTTAATACAAAAGTTTCGTTTTTGTTTTGTTCTTATTCCACTTTACATAGATTTTGTTTTGACTTGTTTCTACATGCATTCACTCATAACACAATTTAGGTTTCATAGAAATAATGTACACACATACAAAAACACGTTGTTACAAGTGTACATTCTCAATTTAGTATACATAATTTTTTTTTCCATAAATTTCAAAACCAGAAAAAATGTACTTGTACGTAAGTGTGAATCATTGTACGTATAATGGGCATTGGGGACAAAAATGAGATGTACGTAATAGCGAGGGTACGTAAAACGAGCGTACGTAACACGGGGTATTACTGTATATTCAAAATGCCTGTTAAATACTTCTTTCAAATTTTTAGGGCGTTAGTAAACTTTTAGTTAACATTCCTAGAAAAATGTAAATTACGCTCTTAGTAGAGTTTCGCTTTGTGCCATTCTCCGAAATGCTCTCCTATTAGTTTCGGTAAAAACCAGAACTCAAATATCAAATTTCAAGAAATGCCATCTATTAATTCCATAGATATGATAAAAAATGTAAATTTGGCCCCTAGTTCGGTTCCCGAACCTTGATTGTTCCAAAAAATTTATATGTTCATTGTTTTGACACCCCAAATTTAAATATTAAATTTCAAAAAAAAAATGATTAGTTATTTCTCTTTATATTGGCAAAAATCTAAAATTAGCCCGCAAAAAAGTGCAGCTCCTTATATTCCTTGTATATCCTAAAGTCCCAAAAGTGCCTTATATATCCCAAAATCATCGCAAAAAGGTCTAGTTTCTAAGGCCTGACATATTCCAAAAGTTGATCAATTCGCGGACATTGACAAAATAAATTGACATATTGAATTTCGTCGAAATCGAAATCAGTTCAGCCGTATCCTAAATACACGCGTACACATACAGACTAACGGAAAAACAGACAAATTGACCGACAAACAAAAAAACTGACCGACAGAGAGGTGACTGACCGACAGACAGACAGACCGACATCTTGTTAATTTTCACTTTCCTGCCATGGAAAATTTGGTGCCATCACATAACCCCCCTTATTGTATGCAACGCTGTTGGTAAGAAACACTAAAATATTTAATTCCGAATTTCACATTACATTTTTATAAAAAGTATAGAGGAAAACAAGTACATATATATGTACATATTATATAGTTATTTTAGTCCTAAATTCTTTTAATACTTTCATCGTTCTCAAATAAAATAGTTTTCTTCGAAATAAAGAAATTCAACATATCTGGTTTATTTTGACTCATGACTCATGACCTTGACCTTTCGCGTCAAAAAATTTTATTAAATAAAAAAAATAAAATTTTGAACTTTAAAAAATTTAGTTCATAGTAAATAATTGTATGAAATATAATTTTTTGATTGGAAATTTTAAAATTTACATACATACTCATATATCAAATTCGAACAAACGAAAAAAAAATCTGACATATAGACATTAGCTATCATTACCAATGCAATTTTTGAATGTTGAAAATAGTTCTATCAAAAAACTAACTCTTAAACTATTATTGAAAATTTATTACCTTCTTAATATTTCCTTCAGATTCTGTAAAGCAAAATACAGAAAGCCTATTTTATGCAAAAATAAAATTAGCAGTTTAGTATAATTATTAAAAAGGACAATTAATCTTCATCATAAGTGCAAGTTGTAAAACATCTGATGTGGTCCGTACATAACCGAATGCAAAAATTTTTTTCTAGCTTGGCGAATGTTGGTTACAAGATTTTGAACTAAATAAAACTATTTTTATTCATATACGAATATATTTTAAAGATTGCATACATCTAGGATGATCAATGTTTACAATCTTTAAAATAAAGCAAAAAAAATTATAGAGGCTTTAACAAAATATTTGAACTTGAGCGTTAATTACGTGAGTTAAGAAAAATAATTATATTTTTTAATGGCATGGCACAGCATTTATTGTTAGTTTTCTGCATTTATAGATAACGGAAAAGCTTGCAGTTTCAGAAATGTAAAGCGTTGAAAATGCAAATTTTACAAATTTGTAGTTGCGATAACTTGCGAGGTAATGAAGTTAGAAAAAAATTTTCTAACGAAATAAACTATTAACAGAAAAAACGAGATAAAAAATTTCTGTTTTCTCAGTGAAATTATATGCTATTTTCAAACCTATAACACACTTAAATTTACATTTTTCTTTTAAAATTTTGTTGTATGCAGCGGTTCACTTAGCAATCTTACAATTTTAAAAAATTAATACCTAACTCACCCCACAGTCTTAAAAATTTGTCTTTTCTTGCAAAAACAGAGATATTTTGCAAGAAAAAGCAAATAACGTAGCCTTTCTTGGAATACCACGACATTGTTACATTAAAGGAAATAAAGCAGCTTAAATAAATTAGCTAAAAATTGCCGATTCAGAATTTAAAATTTATCAAAATGACACAAAGTTTTTAATTCAAAATATTACGAGAAAAACAAGGATTGGAATGGACTGAATCAATTTGTTGTCACGAAAAAACTGAAGTACGGTAAACAGACTTCGCATCGGACATGGCAAATTTACACACAGTTTTATTTTTAAACTACCTCCAGGAAATCCTCCTACTTGCCGATGTATTAAAAATTTTTTGTTAACAACTGAACATGTTTTTAATGCATGTGCGGGTTGTCACCCAATGAGACCTTCTTATGCACAGAAAATATTAATATATTGAGAAAGAGTGATTTAAATTCATATTCAAAAACTATCAAATTTATCAATACCCAACTCAAAAACCCTGTAATAAATAAATTCTATATAAAAATAAAAATATTTCAATCGGAATAATTCGGAAAACATGAAGCATTGTTTTTGTAAATTATTGTGCTTCGGCATACTTTGAAAAATAATTTTAGTTTGGTTTTGGTGGCCTGCATATTAATATAATGTATTAACATACATATATGGCATTAGGTAAAACAATTAGTACTAGAGGACTAAACTTGCATTTTTTTCCTTTTTCTCTCCTAGGAGGAGTCCTATGTGCATGACATCATAGACAGTCATGCACCGTTTCATTGCGTCACAGAGTTTTAAACTAGGTAGGTGACTAGTTTTTTCTTTATATTAAATACTTAAGTTTATTGATATTTACTGTTGATTATTCTTCGCTTTAATATTGAGTATTATGAATAAATGAAAATTACCTGTATACATATTTGTTATTTTTATAAGTACTGTATATTAAAGCTATAATATAGAACATAACTTTTATAGTGACCTAACCGGAGTTGGAACTCGAGACCTTTCGGTTAATGGCCCGGTGCCATAACCACTGCACCAATGGTCAGGTTAAAACTTGCATTAATTTGAAAAGAAAAATTTGAAAAATTTTATAATATAAAACAAATTGTTATATCGCGTTTACGATAATTTAACATAAACGGAAAGAAGCGTTTTTAGGATATAAAAGATTTTTCAAGTTTGTGTACTTTTCTGTGAGAATTTAAAATGAAAAATACTTCTCCAGTTGGAATAAACATTTTAAACATCATATGGAATTCACAAGCGCACTAATTCTTTTCAGCTTTATTAATTTTTTCACTTCAATTTTTAAATCTTTAGAATAGAAAGCGGAAAAATAATGCAAATTTTGCATTGTATAATTATATATTGTACTTGGTCCTTATACTGTCCTTATATTTACTGTCCTTATAAATTTACTGCTATATTATAAATTTAAAGTTCATAATATTATACCCATTAAAACTAATATCGTGTTTTTAACTCGCGCAATTCATAGCTGGGTTCATTTTTAGCCTCGGATCAAAAATACCTACTTTTTCAAAATAAATTCTTTTCAGCATCTTCGAGTGCAATTTTAAGCAAATCAAACCATTAAAAACACAGGTTAACACAAAAATAAATAAAACAAATTGTGAAATTGAAGAACTCGGTATGTATTGTATGTTATTCTAACGAACATAATGTTTAGTTAATTTGTTTCACTTATTAGTAATTTCACCATATTCTCCAAGACACTTAAATCTCAGACTATATTCATGTTGTCTTATTTAAGATATGCATATGTACTTAATTGTATTTAGACGTTGATTGTTTGTTTTTCTATTTTTAAATTTATAGATATTATTATTATAAATTGATAGTTCGTATACGTATATAAGTTTGGCATTACGTTTTTAAAGCTCTGAGCGTGTTATGGTCTTAAACGCATGCATTATTATAAAGATTATTCTGGTCGAGTTAGTTTAACCTTGCCGAAGTTCGAGTGTTAAACATGATCAATGAACTTGACATTGATCTCGACAGATACTGCTATTCAATAGTATCTGATCAGCCAACCAACAAAATTTGTTTTTCTTTATGTCAAATATACGAAAATTATCTATTGAAAAAAAAGCTGAACTCTAATCAATTCGGATGGCGGTTAAAAGTAAAATTTGTAATCAAAAAGCCAATTAAATTTAGTTTTTTGTTATGTAATTATTTTTATTTAATAAATTTTTTAGTGTTCGAGAATGGCGGTTTTGTATTCTTCGGTGATTAAACCTTCCTTGACTAAACATTTCCAATCACTTAAAGCCCAATGTCCAAGTGTCCAGTCGGGATGATCTTTCTTGAATGTGATACATTTATTTATTATGTCAATTTTGTCATTTCCAAATTGTTTTTCCAAATGTTCGTCAATGTAACCTTCAGTATCAACAAAATATTGCAATTCTACGGCAACACAATGAACATAATTTTCTACAATTTCTTCCTCTGGATATTCGAATTTTTTGAAGAGTTCACGAGTTTCAGCAGGAACTGGGAATTTTTCAATGCAATCAGCACGTGCTTCTTTAAGTTGTTCTACTGTTCTTTTTACATAGCCGTGGAGACGTGCGGATGCCTAAAAGTTAAAACAGTTTGCATTTAACCGAATTTTATTTAAAATTTTTAGTTTTCTCAAATTTTTCAAAATAATTGTGAAGAAAACTTACAATTCCAACAAATAACAAAAAGATAATGCAATATTTCATTTTTGAAATGAGATTCTTTAGATTTTGTGTAAAAGAAATATTAAGTCTGAAAGGTACTCAATACACTAAATTCAAATAGAAAATTTTAGTTCTTTTATAGTAAAATTTTGGTATTAATCCTGTGTTTTTTTATTTTTTTTATTCGAGTGGGCTTAGATCTTGATAAAACAAAACTATCAACACCTCACACTTTCTTGCTTTCACTAATATATTAGTGATATAGTTATCAAAATATTTTTGCGAATATGCAAATTTTTTTTTTGAAAATGGCGATTATTGTTTTTTGGTTTTGGTTTCATTTTGAGTTTTCAATAGAAAGTAATTTTCATAGAAAAATTAATTTGGAAGTTTTTTGAAAAATTTATTGAATTTTCAAATCTAAATTTAAAAGTTTAACCAAAATTTTTATAAATGGATTCTTAATTTTTCTTACTTTTTCGCAAATATCTACGAAAAGTGAAATAGAGAGTTTTGGAGGTAATTTTATTTATATTTAAAAATAAAAGCCCCAAATTTGAAAGATTTTTTAATTAGTTTTTTTTCAGTTTGCCTAAAACAATCAATTTTGTAATCATACACGCATATGTACACACACATGCGTGTAGCAATAAAAAAATGGCATCTCGCAAAAATATTTTGATAACTATCACTAACACATTAGTGAAAACAAGAAAGTGTGAGGTGTTGATAGTTTTGTTTTATCAAGATCTAAACCCACTCGAATAAAAAAACACAGGATTAATACCAAAATTTTACTATAAAAGAACTAAAATTTTCAATTTGAATTTAGTGTATTGAGTACCTTTCAGACTTAATATTTCTTTTACGCAAAATCTAAAGAATCTCATTTCAAAAATGAAATATTGCATTATCTTTTTGTTATTTGTTGGAATTGTAAGTCTTCTTCATAATTAATTGGAAAAATTTGATAAAACTAAAAATTTTAAATAAAATTCGGTTAAATGCAAACTGTTTTAACTTTTAGGCATCCGCACGTCTCCACGGCTATGTAAAAAGAACAGTAGAACAACTTAAAGAAGCACGTGCTGATTGCATTGAAAAATTCCCAGTTCCTGCTGAAACTCGTGAACTCTTCAAAAAATTCGAATATCCAGAGGAAGAAATTGTAGAGAATTATGTTCATTGTGTTGCCGTAGAATTGCAATATTTTGTTGATACTGAAGGTTACATTGACGAACATTTGGAAAAACAATTTGGAAATGACAAAATTGACATAATAAATAAATGTATCACATTCAAGAAAGATCATCCCGACTGGACACTTGGACATTGGGCTTTAAGTGATTGGAAATGTTTAGTCAAGGAAGGTTTAATCACCGAAGAATACAAAACCGCTATTCTCGAACACTAAAAAATTTATTAAATAAAAATAAAAACATAACAAAAAACTAAATTTAATTGGCTTTTTGATTACGAATTTTACTTTTAATCGTCACCCGTATGTATTATGATCACTGATCATCAGAAAATAAGGTTCAAGGATTCCTCTAAAATCAAGTTTAATTTTATCACTTAACTGTAAAGTTAAAAACCCGCTTGAAAATTGTTTGTTCGATTACTTTAAAATTAATTATTCTTTTTATTTTCGACTTTTGTGTAGTTCTTAATTAAATTGAAATTAAGAACATACCAAAAACGTAATTGGAAATAGATTTAATGATGATATGATTAACTTCTATGATGAGGACGGGGAATTGGGAACGGATATCGAAATTTAGCGAATTTCCTAAAATTTGCAGAAAAATTAACCTGTTTTTAGTGGTATGATTTCCTTAAAATTGCGCTCGAAGATGCTGAAAAGAATTTATTTTGAAAAAGTAGGTATTTTTAATTCGAGGCTAAAAATGAGCCCAGATATGAATTGCGTTAATTAAAAACACGATCTCAGTTTAAAGGTTAATATTGTAAACTTTCAATTTATAAGAACAATAACATGAGACCAAACACAGTAGATTATACAATGCAGAATTTGCATTATTTTTCCACTTTCTATACTTGAGAATTAAAAATTGAAGTGAAGCAACTAAATTAGTCTAGTGCACTTGTGAATTGCATATGATGTTTGAAATGTTTATTCCTATTGCAGAAGCTTTTTTAATTTTAGATGGTTCCAGAAAAGTACATAAAACTTGAAAAACCATATATTTTCCAAAAATTTAGATTTTAACATTTGTTACTGTTTGTTCTATATGACAATCACAATCATCAGAACCCAATTTACGAACGCGATATTACAATTTAGTTCATATCAAGAATGAAAAATGTGATGCTGTTGTATCAAATGTGATGTTTTCAAAACTGAACTGGTACGGTGGTACCTCTACTAAAATGTGATACTTTCTACTTAAGTATGTATTCAGAGTGATTCAGAAAGTTCTACAACAGCATATACTATTGGTTAGAAGATCGAAAATGGGTAAAACTTTTGTTTCAGACCGGGTACCAATTCTCAAGGGTTTCCGAGTACCAGGGATTTTAACGAATTTTTTACGAAATTTTTACTTATTCAAGGTTTTTGGATTATAACTTCCATTCTCAAAAAGATAAGAACTTCAAACAAGCAGTTTCTGAAAGGACTAGTTAAGGGCTTAAAATAGACATGATGCTTGATTCTGTATTTTATGTACCTTCGGAATAAAAACCACAAATTTTGTGAGTCACAAATTCAATTAAATCAAACCAAATGTTAATAAAATTAAAATTAAATTCAATTTAATATTCCTTTATCAAAAAATTTGGAAAAAACCTTGTCCATATCCAAAAATTTTACAAATATCACAAATCAAACACCAAATTTTCCTAAGATTCACCTAATTCGGGAAAAATTTAGGTTTTGCTTCTTTCAAATCTATTTTTATTCAATCGCATATTTTAAATCAATTGCTTTCCAGGAACACCTCCTTAGTTGCAATCAACCGTACACCAATTTTAGTTTTTCTAGAAATTTGTTTAAAATTTATTAATTCCATCAAAAATGTTTATTAATTATTTATTAACTTCATAATGTACCTACCATATCATTTACATACTCCCTTTTGTACAAAAAAATTAAATTTTAATATTGGAAAAAAATTTTTTTTCTATTAAAATAAATGTCAAAATTTATATGGCATATCTTTAAAAACTCACTCCAGCTGGTTAATTTTTATAACTTCCAGATGCCAAATGATGTGTAGATTTCAAAAATATTTTTTTCAAATTTTTAAATTGCATCCAATGTGAGAAAAGTGCATTTAAAAATTTCAAACCATATAGGTACCATTTCTTACAAAAATTGGCGAAAATTAAAAACCTATCATTTTTTTTACCAAGAAAAGTTTCGAAAAAAAATTTTTTGATTACTAGATTTTTTTTTTTCCTAATACAAAATTCTACTTTTTCTTTTCAAAAATTTCAAATTTTTTAAAATCAATTTTTGTTTTTCAAATTAAAAGTTTGTATAAAATTTCGTCTCAATTTTATTGTTATTTGATAAATTTTAATAAAAACATTAAATTTCAGATTTTTTAACAAAATAACGGCTCATAAGAATGTTTCTTGTCATCAAAAATAAAATGATAGTTGACAATTACAACGCTTAAGATCCTCACCTAAAAGCTTAACATAGAAATGGTTTTTGCGCTTAAATTAAAGCAGCTGGGCAAAATTCTATAAAAAAATTTCAAGGTTTTAAAAAATTTTTTACGAAATTATCTAGCTAGAAAAAACTGAAAATATCAAGGGAAAAATTTTATTTTCTTTAAAGTTCGAATGCTTGGTATTCTGAAGGTACTTGAAATACAGAATCAAGCAGCATTTCTATTTTAAGTCCTTTACTAAGCCTTACTGAAACTGTTTTTTTGAAATTTCCATCTTTTTCAGCACAGAAGTTATAATAAAAAAACTCGGATAGGTAAAAATTTCCTCAAAATTCGTTAATATCCCTGAAATTTGGAAACCCTTGAGATTTGGCCCCCAGTCCGAAACAAAAGTTTTACCTATTTTCGATCTTCTAAAGAATGGTATTTGTTGTTGTATAACTTTCAGAATCACCTTGTATATACTCATTATATAAAAACATTCTTTTTATAAGAAATAAAATCCAAAACATTTGTAGTATATCGAACATAGAGTAATTTGTCTTGTTTGTCAACTTTGTTACTATTATTTATTAATATAGTATAGTTCCTTTACCAAAAAACAACACTAGATTACATCAAATTCATATTTTAATTAACAAAGTCAGAAATATATTAAAGGTGCATTTTTATTTCTTTTGCAATTTTTATTTCAAGAACTGAAATACCGAAAAATTCCAATAATCCCGTTAATTTTCAAGGAAGTATTGTGAAGATTTTCAAATAATCTTGTTTGAATAAGTCTTTTGAAAATATCGTTTAACACTGACGCCGAACACGTAAATCATCCGCTAACTTATTATACTACAATAATTTGAATTCTGAAAAAAAATTCAGAATAAATTCGATAAGTAAGATTTCAGAAGCACACAATTGCCTGTACTAAACTCCTTTGTTAAAATATACTTTAAAAAACAAAAAAAACCTTGCTCCATAAAGCAGTAAAAATCATATTACTCACATCAGTCCAATTCAGCTCAAACTAGAATTACTAGGTGTACATTTCTATACATACTTATCTAGTTCAGAGCTTTCAATATTGTTATTTAGTTTAAATAATAATTTTCCTTGCATTCCTTGAAATATTTCAATCTGAGTCTTTTAGGCACAATATTTTTCATTTTTACTAATATTCTTCTCATTGTTACATTACTTTTTCCAAAAACCGAATATTTCAAAAACTAAAAATTTTTTAAACTTTAATAATAATTTATTTTTAACAACTTCTTAATTTTTAAAATAACATTAATTGTATGGCAATGAGATGCACAAAATGGTGTTTTGATTTTTAACATTAATTTATTAATATTGTTAGATATTTAGTTTTCAACCTTCTTATAATGATCTTTTAATCCGTTATCAACGAAACATTTCCAATCATGCCAGGCCCACTTCTCTACAGAATCATAATCAGTTCTTTTTGAAAGGCATTTATCAAAAATAGGAGCAGCATCTTCACCGAATTGTGTAATTAAATCAGTTCTATGGTAACCTTCATGTTCACACCAAACACCTAATTTAAGACCGGTACATTTAATAGCTTGATGAATAGCTGCATCATCAGGATATTCATATTTTTTCATTGATTCTCTAAAATTATCAGATAAATGTAATTCATCCCAGCATGCTTCACGTGCTGCTTTAATTTCAGCTGCATTTTTGCGAGTAAAATCTGCAGATGTCTATAAGAAATTGTATTTGTTTATTATTGTTTTATATACTTTGATTATGTATATTATAAATGTATGTAAATAATTCAATCTAGAAATTTTTACTTACAACTGCGAAAATAGCACAAACTAAAAGTAACAGTTTCATCATTTTTAATAATGCAGTTCGAAAATTAATTAACGAGAATTCTGAAGAAAAAAAACCACGTTCCGATGAGAGCCTAGAAAATGAAATGGTCATCATATGAAATCAATTTTTCCTTTTTATATCAACTGAAAGTCTCTTGATAGTCTTGACTGTATGTTTTTTAATTATAAATACATTAGCTTTCAATAATAAAAATATAAATTTAAAAAACTTATCTGCTTATATGAGAAGTTGAACTTAATTTCATTTTAATCAATTTTTATATTTTTTCTTTATTATTGTACAAGTATACTGAGGTGGAGAAGATGAACTTAAATGTAGGTTTCAATATAATCTTGTTTTATTCAGTGTTATCATGTAAAGCAATTAATGTGAGAAAGATTAGGGTTCTGCAATAACATTTTATCAGTTCAGTTAGTATTAAAAAAATAATTTCAAAATACAAAATATGAAATGGCGCAAAGTTGACTTTTTGGTTTAAATTATTTGTGTACCATAATTTTTTCTGTTTTTTATTTTCGCTTTCAGAATCAAATAGAGAAGATGTTTTAAATTTTTATACCAAAATTTTATATGAAACCGAATACGATTCAACATATTAAGGTTTAAGAAACAACATTTTGTTTTTGATTCTAAAATTCAATTGCATTCGTCATTAAATTTACTAAAATGTAGAACAATTTTGAAGACAAATCAAATTATTGCTATCATTACACCTAAAATAATATGCAAAATAATCTAAAATTCTAAATTATTTCCCAATATGCTTAATGAAATTAAGTTATCTATCAGATTTTCAAGGAAATCGGAGAATTATATTAAGGGTATAGAATTTTAATTTAAGGCCTAGTATGTCTCCATAATTTTATTAGATTAGAAAAAATCTAATAACAACATTAAGTAAATATTGCCACTCTTTAAAAATTTCCTGTTCGCCGGAAAAAAATATTCAAGAAATTTAACTAAATTACCTAACAAAAAAAATTATACATAATTATTATGTAATGTTTCTTGTCTTTGGTTAAAATTATATACATACATGTAATAGCTATTTTATTTATGAAAATTAGAGAAATCAGGATAGCGCGAAAAAAAAAACATATTCTGCTATGTTTTACTGCATTGTAATCTTAACGTTAGTTACCCAGAATGTTAGTTACCCAGAATCATATATTATTGCCGATGCATCATAAAATTTTATTATTTTCGCAATTATTTATTACAGTCAAGATTATATAAGTTGACTTGAACATTCTCTTTCAAGTTTTTATGTATAGAAAAATATATGACCAAATTATCAGCATATATTTTAGCCATTTCAGCAATGTTTTATTACTGCACAAACAAAAAACATTGCAGTAAGACTTGTAAGTGAATATTTTCTGTTTGAGGGAACAGTCATAATATTTAGCTATTCAGTAATTTTAGAAATTTGTTGTTTGTCATATACACATGAAGAATCTCACAAGATCAATTGAAAATGTTGTACAAAGTCCAGCTATATTTTATGTCACAAATCAGCTTTGTATATCACTACAAAATAAATATGTACTCAATATGGAGGCAGAAATATTGTTAAATTTGTCATTTTTTTAACAAATTTAAATAAAAAGTTGTAGTTATCTTTTTTGGCTACCAAAATAGTGGCCATTTTTTCAGTGTATGCAGAAGACAATTTTTGTAATTACATAATGGAACTCTTTTTTTTTTTTGAGTGGCGCTATTTTGAATTAAAAAGTTTAGTACTTACTAGCGTCCCTTAAAAAAGAAGTTTTTTGTGTAATTACAAAAACTATCAGTGTAAACTATATACACGGTTATTATTGATTAACACTTTAAAAACGAATTTGAATACTACGAAAATGGCTAGGTGATTTGCTTTTATAAGATAAATGAGAAAATATCATGCTGACTGAACAGTTAGAAAATGATCCCTTAAGAACTGGAAGAGATTGATTTTTTATATTTAAAGAAAGGTTGTAAATATTTCTAAAGAACTCAGTAAAATAATGAAATTAATTTTGTTGCAAACAAGTGGTATAAAGGTTTTTTAAGTATGTTATTTAATACAATGCTTCAACATGCGTTATAAGTATAAAAAATAATTATTATGCTTTAGGCTCAGATAAATCACTTTGAAAATCAACTTTTAGCTTGTTTTAACTTAAAGTTTTAAACGATTCTTAAGTGAGTACAATAAAATTGTTATATACTGGTTAAATACTCAGACTATTATATAAAATAGTATCAGATTTGCGCCGTGAGCATAATTCTAATAACACAAATTGCAATTTTGCAAATAAACGTTCTATATCACCGATAAACTTGTTTTTTTTTTAGAAACTGTTAATATCTCTATGGCTGAACTAGTTTTTTACTATCAAAAAATTAACGTTTTCAAAAATTTATTTCAAAAATTTTTTAAATTTTGAATTTGCAGCCATAAATTTTTAATAAACTTTACCATATTAGAGCATAATTCTAAGTTAAAAAAAATATTATAAACAGAATCAAGAAGTATAGCTTGTGATGAGTTTCTAAAAATAGATTTGTAAGAGTTTTAATGTTATGAACATAAATATATATGTGAATTCTATAAAATATCATCAGTTTTCCCCAAATACACTCATTTCGAATAAACATAAAACTTTAACACTTGTAACTAATTACCACGTCGTAACTGTCATTGACCTAACATTGATCTATCTATAGAATTATACTTCGAACATGAAGCGTTTATTTTCCACTGATATTAAAAATAATTTTATCATTCTAACCTTTAAGAATATTGACATATATGAAATACAAGATCACTATGATTTTTTTGATCTACGACAACTAAATCACTTGCAAATACTTTCAAATTTTTGCTTGAACTATTTTAACAGTCTCCAATTAAATATTTAATAACTCAATTTTTAATAATCAATAATTAAAGATTTTAGAAGTACAATTTTCCTCTATGAGACATTCACATAAACTAAGCAGCAAATTTCCTAATAGTTTCTTTGAATTACTTCAATACAGGTATTCAATAACCTTAATATATCCGTTAGTTGGCTCAGAATTAACAATTTTTTATAAAAAGGAAGTCTTTTATTTTTTAACAATGTTTTTTAACAAAATTTCACGCTGAAATAATCTTAATAGTTCAAACAACTTTTTGTATTAAGAAATCACATAATTGTCGATGAATGAAATCAAAACTTCCACATTCAAGGGCACTATCTTATTTTAATAAATTGTAAGGTTGATCAACTTCTCTCCCAAAAAAATTTTCCACTATTTTAATCAATATGCATTTTTGTTTTTTGCTTTTCTTTTTTGAGATTAAATTCTTTATTCATGAGGCAAAGAAACCGTAAACATAAAATTGTACAGGGTTATGAATAAATCACGTAAATGCGTTATTTACAATTTTGTACTATAAAAATTTCTAAAAATTTCGCAAGAATTTCGTTAATTAGCTTCACTTTCAAATGCATGGCTCGCTTTATCCAATCATATTTGTAGACTTTATCAAAACACAAAACTGAGAGTACATAGCTTTACGAAATCAATTATCAGTATAATTTAACCGTGAAGATTTTTCAAAATTGTTTGCCTATGTTTCTTTTCTATACCCCCTTAATAAAAAAAGCACTTTACTAGATCAAAAATGTCAGTTTTTAATTCAAGTAGATGTAAACAAAAGTAACATTTTAGAGACCCAAATTATTCTATTTCATAATTGAAAATGTTTTTTTTTAAAAAACAATTTTACATTTAAGAATGACGTGCTCAAAATTTTTTGGTAATTTTGGAAATTTTCAGAAAACAATTATTATCAAAAACACTTAAATGAAATTTTAATCTTATTCATAGAATTTCCCTGTTCACCCTGTATATTTAACCAAGTAATTTATTTCATTTTCTATTATTCTTGCCTGTCTGTAAGTAACCATCAATAAAATTTGTATACACATGTACATGTAGTAAACATGAAAACTATTATAAAGTTATTCGTTCGTTTGTACCTAAAGCACAGAAAAATTATGTGACATGCAAACAGTTTTAATATACCAATAAAAATTTTTATGTTGAAATTTATGCCCACATAATTCGACTACTTAAAAATATATTTAAATAAGCTCCAATTATTTTGGTTTTTAATAGCCGTGCTAGATGGAAAATTTTGGATTTGAACACTTTAGTGTAAACATACAAAAAAAATATTAAGATGTAAGAAAATTACGTAACTATGAAAATTATATAACAATAAAACAATTATGCAAGAAATCATAGCTAAATTTTTCATAAAAAATATTGAAATTATTTCGACTTTTAACTCAGAACTTTCTTTTTGAGTTTATCAACAAAAAGCGTAGAATGAAGCTTAGAACTTTCAACATGTAGAGCAGAGTAAAATGCAAATTTTTCCAATAAAATTCTTCTTTAGAGTTGTTAAAAATCCCATTTACACTATTAATCAAATATTTAATCATTTTTTGCTGGAATCTCAGAGTTGGTAAGGACAAACACAATAAAAACATCAAAATAAATATTTGAATAAAAACTTTATATTTGATTACATTAAACTATTCCAAACCAATGCATTTTGAATTCTTAATTTTATTGTTTAGCTCAAAAGTCTATTATATTCTAATCTTATCAAATTAACTGTACTCTAATTGGAAGAAATGCTCTATACCATACTTAAGAAAATTTTACATATTTTGTATATAAAAGGAACTCAAAATTTACAACTCTTCATTCAAATTTGGTGGTTCCAACTTTAAAATAGTATAATAAAATATTGTGATTAATTTCAAAGAAGTAAAAATGATGAAATTTATTTTATTCTGTGGATTTATTGCTGTTGTAAGTATTCTAGTACTCAAAATTTAAAATTGTAATTTTACTCAACTAATTCGAAATATTATATAAGATTTCAGCACATCATCACTTTCATCAAAAAACTCCTGCTGAAATTAAAACTGCTAGAGAAGACTGTTGGAAAGAATTGAATTTGAGTGAAGAACAAGTAGAATCAATGAAAAAGTACGAATATCCTGATGAAGTTGCAATTCATAATGCAGTTAAATGTACCGGTTTGAAATTAGATTTATGGTGTGAACATGAAGGATTCCATAAGGAAGATTTAATTGTACAATTCGGAGAGGCAGCAACACCCGTGATCAACAAATGTTTGACAAAACGAAACGAAGATGATACATTAGAAAAATGGGCTTGGCACGATTGGAAATGTTTAGCTGAAAATGGATTAAAAGAACACTTTAAAAAACTTGAAGCTTAAAATGTTGTGTTCTTTTTTTAAAATTTAAAAGACTGATATTTTAAAAATTAAATGATGGAGCTGATACTCTCATATTTACTTTTTAGAAATGTTCATAAAAAATCAATAAAAGTTCTGCAAAAGTACGGCGATAGTTTTTATTTATTAGAAATGTGCTATGTGATTTTATTTTGTGATAAAACAAGGATTGGAAGTGGAAAATAAGTAAGGAATACCTTGAGAACATGGAGCTATTTTAATGATAAATTAATTTTCTTTTTATATTATTAGTTAATTGCCTAGTTGTTTACAAGGTTGTAGTATTTCCTATTTTGAAAAATGCAACGAAAATATTTAAGAAGCAGCGTCAATTTTAAAAAATTAGAAACTTGCAAATTGAAAACTTTAAGAGCAGTAGTTTTCCTTTAAAGCAGATATGATTGTAGGTCAATTTTAATTAAAGCCATTCAAAAGAGTTATTCAAAGACTCTCCTTCAATTTTTAAAAATAATTTATTTATTAGAACAAAAATCATATGGGTCATATTGTCTTATTATAACCTGAATTTGGAGAGAAATATGCAATTGCAGATTTTAAAACAAATTCTCTTCAAATTTTTGAGAAAGCAATTTGAAGGTACTCATTATAATTTCTGCTACAACGTTCCCCCCTACTACAGATACTGTTTCACTTAACGTAGCTTTTTCATTTGATTTTATTTTCTCACTCTTTTATTAAATTTTCGTAAGTATGGTATACAGCATTTCTTCCCTCTATGACATAAGTTCTGTTCCCTCTGATTTCTCAGAGGGATTAATAACCTTACCAAAAATTATTTTAAAATTATAATAACCTTTATACAAAAATACCCAGTAGAATTTTTATCCACTTCAATTTAAATTAATCAATTTGAAAAAAATAATAATGTCTCACATCAATTATTTGCCATAAACATCAAATATTTTTATAATTTATATTTTTTCAAATATGGTAAATAAGGAAATATCTTCTTTTAACCGAAATAAAATGATTGAACCTTCGATTTCTCATTTGTCCACTGGAGCACGTCGAGTTAAAACTTGTAAGTTGATTTCTCTTCAGTTTATAACTGGTCGACCTTTGGTCATTGAGCAGCACAATTTATTTTTTCGTTTCAATTGTAGCAGAGAATGAGGAAAGAGGATTAATAGAGAAGATCATGATTTTTCTTGTTACAATTGTTTTCATAATAACGTTTCCTATATCAGTTTGGTTTTGTGTCAAATCGATCAATGAATATGAAAGAGCTGTAATTTTTCGTTTAGGCAAACTAAAGTAATTAATTTTAAAAAATGTCTTTTTAAAAATTAATCATGTCAATTTCAATTTTAAGGCAATCAAAACCTGTGGGACCTGGATTTGTTTTTGTACTTCCGATTATAGAAACATTCGCAAAAATCGATTTACGAACAATAAGTTTTGATATACCGACTCGTAACGTTATAACTTATGATGCTGTTAGTATTGAGGTTGATGCAGTAGTATATTATCACGTGTTTGATCCAATTGGAGCTGTCACACAAATTGAAGATTATGGATATGCAATTGAAAAATTAGCTCAAGCTGGATTAAGAAATACTGTTGGAAAGAAAACATTAGAAGAATTTACAAGTCAAAAAAAGCAAGTTGCAAATTCATTAACAACTTTTCTCGATAGCATTACAGATGAATGGGGATTAAAAATTGAGCGAGTGGAAATGTAAACACTTTCATAAAGTTTATAATTATTTAGGTGGGAATATTTAGATGGGAAAGTTATGCAACATATTTTTTTATATTTGCAGACGAGAAGTCGGCCTGCCAATATCAATGAAGCGTGCCTTAGCCGCTGAAGCTGAAGCTGCAAGAGAAGCCAAGGCAAAAATAATAAGCGCTGAAGGCGAACTGAGCGCATCATCAGTACTTAAACAAGCTTCTGATGTAATTGCAACCAATCCAACAGCTTTACAAGTATTTACATATACATAAGTACATCGTTCATTTAACAAAAAATTTCTTTATAATTTTAGTTAAGATACTTACAAACATTGACAACAGTTTCTGCTGAATTAAATCATACGATTCTCTTTCCATTACCATCTGAGATTCTAAATAAACTATAAAATATTATAATTTTTTTGAAAAATTGTAGTTTTGATGTTATTCGCAATCAATTTGATTTCTCTTCAATAAGAGTTATGAGCATATCTTACATGAAATCAAATAAAAAAAAAATTGTTTATTAAATTTTCATACATTTCCAATAACTTGAAAGTAGACTAAACTTGAATGGCACTAAATTTCACAGGTCAAGTTTTGAGCCGGAATGTATTTCTCTATGCCAGTGAAGTGTAATTAGACAATTTTTAAAGATATCTCTATAGGACCGTCTGCCTGTCAATTTGGCTGTGCTGATCAGTATTTCAAGTTTTTGTAAACTGATTTTCACGAAAATTTGTATCTGAATTTTTATCATGGATGAGACAGTTTGGTCAACTTTTGATCTTTGGAGTCGGATCTTTACTACGGACCGACTTTACTTTAGAAAACAACCAGCGTATTTCCATGAAAGTTTATAGATAAGTTTAGTCTAACAGTGCGAGAAACCATCTAACTTTTGAAATAAATCAGGTGCCAGAAACTTGATGTTTACTATGGAAATTATAAAACTTTTCGGAATATCAGGGCTCGGAAACTGAATTTGCGGCCGAATTTACATCTCTTAGCATATCTAAAGAACTAATTGAAGGAATTTGGGCGGCATAAATTGAACTAAAACTACTAAAAACTCAAATTCATATTTTTCTAGGCATTTTAACTAAAAACTTACTAGGGTCCTTAAAGATTGAAAGAAGTGTTTAAAGGACATTTTCATAATCTTACGAAACATTTTCACTAAACTAGACCATATACATTGCAATAGGTTGTGTGCTGATCACATCTATTTTTTTAACCATACCTGGCACAAATACCTGGTGTTTTTGAAAATTCCAAATGTCTGGTATAAATTTTTTTTTATTAGTACTGATTTGTTTTTATTAGTATATTTTTAAAATCAGCATAAGCTTTTTAAACTGAATTTTAAAAACAAGTGTGTTATAAATTCAATTTTTGTCATTCGCTCTCTAAATCTCTGAAATTTAAGATTGGCTCATTTAAGATATTAAATAAATTCAATTTAATAAACCAAAATCTTGATTTAAAAATTCTCTTCTTAAAGCTATCGTCGTTTATAATACCATATAAGCTACGTATACTTCCTTTTGGAAGACAGAAAAGGTCAAATTTACAAATTATTTTTGATTTATACTCTGAGGTTGTTAGTCTAATAGATATATTATATAGCATTATTTGTTTTTTATTAAGTGCTAAACGTCAGGAACCTGAAATTTTAGCAGCCTTTCAGCATTAAAGAACGCAACTCTTTCCAAATTATAGAACACAAACGGTAATTACTAATTATCCTACCATCAAATATTTAACTGCCGACTCCAGTCCATGGCCTTTCCTTAATTTGGTTTTCATCCTAAAAGTATGCAACAATATAGCATTAAATGTTTTGGTTTATGTGTTAACGGAAAGAATCTTTTTAAATTTAAATATTTTAGAAACTTTCCAAACTATAGGTTTGATTCGAATTTGATTTGTATGAGCAGATTATTATTCGAATCATATTTAGGTGTGAAATTGAATGCTTGTAAATAGAAACCGTATTATAAATATAGTGATCTTAAACAAAAAATTAATTTAAGTAAAACTAAACCAAAACATGCGTTCTAAAGATTGTCACAACATAGCTTATAAAAATAAAAGCAATTGTCTGATTCTACTCTTTGTTGTCTAATACATAATTTCATGCATTTACTGACATTTTCAATTTTCATACTTAAAAGTTAATCAAATTCTGAAATTTTCAAAATAACTTCATAACTCGTCACATGACAGTAGAAAGTTGGAATCGCGTAGAACATAATATAACCTATGTACTCGTATGTATATGTAAGAAGTTTGGAGAAAGAAGCAACCAATTTGTGAAAATTACTTTTTTTTCGTAACTCAAATGTGCTCGAAGCTAAGCAGATTTTCAATAATTCAGACATGCACATAGAGTCCTAACTTAATTTTAAAAAATCTTTTTTTTTAATTGTTACCAGATCTTCAAAATGTAATCAATAAGAACTTAAAATATTTTTACAACATTTAAAATATCTTAAAACATATACGGCATGCTGCAGTTTTCGAATGTACTCCCTTTTTTAATAGAGATTTTGTAAAACAGTACAAGTAGGGTTTGTAATTCGGATTTTTCGAAGGTACTTTTCATTACAATCTAAATTGGAACTGAATTTTCAAAAATCTCGTATGTTATGGGTTCAACATTTTTCACAAAAATGTCATTAGTTCACACTTTTAAACTACTTTGAAAATAATTTTGAAATTTCGCCCATTCATTATACCCCAGGAGTGGCAACACTGCTTGGTACACAAGATACTTTAGTGTAGCTGCAGCTACTTTAAATAATTTTCAATGGTTGTAAAAAGGAAATCAGCAAAATTTTAAATTTTAAATAATTTTTTTTTCAAAAATCAAAATATCCTTGATTCTCTTAGTATTCTTAAATTCATTTGATGACATTTTGTAATTTGATAGTTATTTGAAAAAGATTTCAAATCATAGCCGTAACATTTTAAGTTGGAGTGGTTAATAATGCGAAGTGCAGGTTATATTTAAAAAGTTTATTGAGAAATACTATGAAATAATTATTTTAAAATTCATTATAGAATTAGGAATGAATAGTGTTACCAGATATTCTCTATTGGAAAGATGTACACAAATATTGTCTTATGGATTTGTTATAATTACATTTCCCTTTTCATTATGCTTTTGTTTAACAATAATCGATGATTTCAGAAGATTAGTTATTTTTCGAAATGGTAAATTAAGGTTAGTTTAAATCTACTACAAATCATAATTTTTTGTTAAATAATTTGTAATTTTTTTAGACATAAGAACCCCAAGGGACCCGGAATAGTATTCATTTTACCATGCATTGATGAATGTTATAATATTGATTTACGGTGTTTAATAATTGACATTTTACCACAGCAAATATTAACAAGAGATTCTGTTAGTATTTATGTTAACGGAATTGTTTACTTTCATGTAAACGATCCAATAAAATCCATTACAGAAGTTAAAGATTTTTACAAAGCAACAGAACTGTTAGCTCAAACATCATTGCGTGATGCTATTGGAAAATTAGATTTACATTCATTAATTGTACAGAAAGAGGATGTTGCAAAAAATCTAACAAATATTATTGATGATTCAACTGAAAAATGGGGTATAACAATTGAACGTGTTGAATTGTAATTATTTTAATGCACTATTTTAACGTATATAACTTAAACAGACCTGTATTACATTTGGTTTATTTCCAGACAAGATATAAAATTACCTCTTAGCTTACAACGTTCTATGGCTGCGGAAGCAGCTGCTGAAAGAGAAGCTAAAGCAAAACTTATTGCAGCTGATGGTGAATACAAAGCATCTGTAGCCTTAAAAAAGGCGGCTGATGTAATGGCACAAAATCCAGCTTCGTTACAAGTTAGTTTTAATTTTTAAAGTTTTTTCGTTTAATGTATGCATATGTATATGTCCACAACATAATATAAATAGTTATATACATTGCAGTTGAGATATTTGCAAACATTGAATACAATTGCAGTCGAAAAAAAAACTACAGTGATATTCCCTTTTCCAATGGGAATGACAATTAGAGAATTTTCAAGCAATAAGGAAAATTAATTTCAATATTAAAATTAAAACTACTACTGAATGTTATTGGTGCTTTAATAAAAGTATTTCATAAAATTTAACAGTTTTCCTCTTTAGGAGAAGCATAAATTGATAACTTGAAATTAATAATTGGATAAATAAGAAAATTGACACGTCAATAAGTATGCAGGTCCAAAAACTTTAAAATCTGATTATTCCGTTGATAATAATTTACTCTTTTTTTCTTTCTTTAAATTGAATTAATTTTTTAGGAAGCAAAGAACCTAATAAATAGTAATAGTAAAAAAATGTTATTGTTACTGCAATTATTGTATAATGCGTGATCTTTATACCCATAACAATGGAAATTATAACAAAAAACACCTATAGACAGCAAAAGCAAATTCTGAGCAAATAATAAAATATTAAATAGTACAGCATGCTTTATTAAAAATGAACAAGTCCATTTGAATTAATTCGATTGAGCTAAAAATTAAGACAAATGTGCATTAAAATTAAGAGAAACTGAAAAATTCGCATAGTCACGTAGTGTAAGTCAAGTAAGTAAAAGTAAATGGAAAACGCATGAATTTCATTCAAATTTTTCTGAAAATGTTAAATACAAAACCACGATTAGTTTGTTGGGTTTTCGATTATGTAATAGAAACTTCAGTCTATTATGTTCGATTTTATTTTAGTGTCAATTTCATGAGACGAACTTGCCTTACGCTAAAATTTTTTCTAAACTCTTTATTAAATTTGCATGTATTTATAACATGTCTGTCTTTATAATTGCATGTCTTTATAACGCAAACGATTTATCATGCATATAAGTATTTCGCACTATGGAAATTTCACTGAATTACCTTCCCAATCAATTAAATCTAGTATCTCTTAGTATTGGTGAAAGTTGCTCAATTTTATTCTAATATTTTATTAATTATTATATGATCCAATTGAAGTATTGTTCATTTTGCAAATTATAAGGACCACATCATGAAAATAAACTTAGTGTAAACTTAATTGCATCACCCTGTATGAAAATCTCGTATAGTTCAGCGTCAACTATTTAATATTACGTACATATGTAGAATTATATTGTGTCTATAAAATGAACTTTATAATGCAAAATTTTCAAATTGAAAAAAAACAAACTATGATATTGGCACAGTAAGGAATTTTCAGAGATCGAGAATTTTGTTTTCGCATAACTAATAATATATTGATATACTCGTATATTTTGGTTGATTCCCATTATGCTAAAGATTTGACAATCATATCAGTTTCGCAAATAACTTTATTCTTTTAATGCCAGTTGCCTGTCATTAATAAATTTTTGCAATAAATGGAACATATAAGAAGTTTCTGTACCATCTATGCATTAACCTTGGAATTCATGACTAACTTTAATTACAAACATTTAACATATTGGAAGAGCATTCTTTTATACTGTAAATCGAAAATTACATCTTACAAAGTAACCTGTGAAGTAGGAATTTTAGAGCTACAATGAAATTTTAATAGAAAAGCTTTTTATGACAAATTTTTCATCTCTATATAATAGTTCTATTTTGCGTTGACTTGGAATTATAATATAATATCAGAGTGCTTGGTTTAAAATATCTACTGTCCAAAAATGTTAATGTTTATTTTTTGATTAAAATGTATACAAAAATCTTCAATTTCTTAATACAAAAATTGTGTGCTAATATCAAAACTTATCTGAGAGAATATTTTTTTTTTATTCCTACTTCGCTCCTGGGAAAAGCATAGGGCACGATATTGACAACATGAACACCAGTTTCTTACGTCATTTAGTAATACTAGGTAGGTGACGAGCCTATTATAGTTTTATATTAAATATTTAAGTTTATTGATATTTACTATTTTATTTTACTGGTCTTTTTTATATTGGATATCATTCAAATATGGCAATTAGTTAATATTAATTTTTTTATTTTTATATGTAATGTGTATAAAGAAGCTATATATTATTGAATATAATTTTTATCCAGTGATCTGAATGGGCTTTGAGATCCAGAGACCCTTCTATTAAAGGACCAGTGCAATAACCAACCACTGCACCATTGGTCAGGTTATCTGGGAGAATATACTAAACAAAATTTAACAAACTTCACACTAAATCATGGTGTCGTACCATTTTTAAAATTAAACTCGACAGACAGTGTTATAAGGCTTTTGATACTGACATACTAACGAAAATTTCTTTACATTTTTGATTTAACAGCGAACAGTGCCAACCCTGGAATTTTTTTGATAAATTAAAAAATGATTTTACTTTTATCATTTTCCCCCTTATACGAATTTGGCGAATTGTAAATAATTGAAATATTGTCACGATGGTCATCGTTGTTTATAAAAAAAACAAAATAAAAAAACAAAAAATTATTTTGTTTATTTTGTATAAAATTTTTCAAATCAACGTAAAATAGTAAAATATTAAAAAGGAAAATTTTATTATCATGTAAATAATTCAATTTATATAAAAAAATTATGAAAAAAGTATAGTAAATATATCGAAATTATGTTATACATATATACACAATCTACATTATACATAATGTGGTATAATTTGTAATATACAAAAATTAAATTTTCATATAAATACGCCATAAAAGTCTAATAAAGTTATCAGTTTTATCTCAAGCCTACATTAATGTAAAACGTTTTAAGAGTAATTTTTGTAATAAGTCATAAATAATTTGTTGTATAAAAGAAAAATTCATATATTCATATAATAAATTATATACGTATAAATCTATATATATACAATATGAAAACGATTTTTGCAATATTTGCTCTTATTCTAGCGGTAAGTACCTACTGAAATTTAATACGAATCAAAAACAAAAAATAAAAAAGTGAACAAATGGCTGCTTCCATTGTTAATTAATTAAGATTTTTCTCTATTTTATAATTTCATTTAATATTTGAAGATTAATAAACATTTGTATAAGTTAATTTTTATTATATTACATAATTAAACAATGAAAATAAAGTGAATTTTATTATTGCATATTGTAAGGCGCTATATAAAGTGATTTCGTGAAAATTTAAGTAAAATCATTCGCAAAATATAATTTGAAAATAATAAAAAATTAATTTATAAATGTTTATAACCTTTAAAATAAAATTTGAAATATGTATATGTTGAGCAAACTCATGATTGTTAATACTGACCAAATCAGGAAACTAAAAATATTTTTAAAAAAATTTAAAATTCCCAAATCGTATGTTGTTAAATCACAAAAATTAGGACTCAAATCTCTTAATTTTTAAAATTATTTTAAATAATTCATTAATATATTTCGACTAATTTCGTTTTCTAATTACTTGAATATGAGCTATAATATTCTCATAAATCCGTTCCAGAATACCAAATAACTAAAACGAAATGGAATGAGGCAAATTATTTAAGATACAAGAAATTATTAATGATTATTTCGAAACAACACAAAAAAAATCTAATTAACCATTTCAAAATCACTTAGGTAAATCTTCTATAAAAAATCTAGAATCATAATATGCAATAATTGTTACACTAATACAAAATCTCTAATAAATAAAACAGCTATGTAGGTATTTTAATTCTAACAATTAACCAACATTTTAAGTTGTTTATGTAAACACACTATTGAAAAATTTCATATTGGATTAAAAATTATTTGATTTCTTTTATGGCTTTTACCATCTGAGCCTGCTACGACAAGGTAGTTAAGTAAACAAATATAGATAGAATGTATAATAATTGCGTAAAATCAACAATTTTAAATATTATGTCATTTGGTATACACAATTATTGACAAAATACATAGTAAGGGTTTGATTATTTTATAAAAAAAAAGGAAAGAAAAGAATGAACAACAAGGTTATCACAAATGAAAAGAAATTTATGATTACAAAAATATTTTTTTAAAATTTAATTAAGTATACACTATCTCATATTATGAATGTCTGCTAAAATATTTGAGAAATTAAAGCTGATGTGAGCATCACATAACCGACCATTATGTGATTTTTTGAATATTATATTGTAAGATTCATATTACCCTATTCTTATTTGAGTGGATTGCCCAAGATTTTAAAAAATGCCCTTTGAGCAATTATTTCAAAATTCAAATAACATTTTAACCAAAGTATAACTCCAAAAATGTATTACGGGTTCAATTTCCAGAATAAAATTTTTTTGAAAAGGCGTAATTGCATTTCTCATATACTAAATTGCAAGAGACTTTGTTAATTATTTCCTTACAAACAATTAAACTTGCTGTTGTGTTCCAAGTTTTTTTCGAAGTGCTCTTAATAGCATTTCTTATTATTTAAGCTTCATAAAAATATGTTAATTTATTGAAAGAATATTAAAAACTTAAAAGCAGCCAATTGTAAAAATTGAATTTCTCTCGTCTGACATTAGTCAAAAGTTGATCAAATGGCTAAAATTAATTCATATATAAATTTTCTAAAAAGAGTTCATTTGCATTTTTCTATCCAACTAAAAATTTGGATTGGTTGGCAACGGAAACAGAGACGTATGTCAACCGTTAATTCAAGACTCGTTTTGTGCTCAGCTGTTAATAAAACAGCTCATATAGCATAGCTTGAATAATAAGAATTTTTAAAACTCTAAAGGCTCTAAAAATAACTTTTGGCCTCTTACAAAAAATTTATTACGCTTTTAGGTAGAATAATAATTTTTTCAGATGCACTTTCAAAATCGCTTGCAGAAATTTTTAGCACTTCCTCATTGTGGAGGACGAGTCTCTTATTAAATTTTTTTTCTTTCACTGGATATTTAAATTATAATTAAACTCTAATAATTTCATTGTCAGAATTATTTATTTAAATGTGGAATATAACCTGGCCTGGCTTAAATTGTCAAAATATTAAGGATAATACTATTCCATCTTGTTAGAGTGTAAGGGTAGTTAAAACTACAATGTTTAAAAAAATAAACTTCATTACAATTCAACAATCAGTTAGGAAAAATATGTTTTATCAATTAGAAATTACAAAATATTTTTCTAAAACTATAAAAAAATTAAATTGAATCCTATTATTTGCAGGTTAACGCCGAATGGAAAATTAATACCCAAGAAGATCTAATGAAATATCGTGAAGAATGCGTTGCCGAGAAAAATGTACCAACAGAACATGTTGACAAATATAAAAAATGGGATTATCCAGATGATGAAACAACTCGTTGCTATTTAGAATGTGTTTTCAATAAAATGGGATTATATGATCCAAAGGATGGCTATAATATTGATCATTTAACACAACAATTAAAACATAATTCGAAAGATGAACATGATGATATTAGGTCAAGAATTGAAAATTGTATTGATAAAAATGAACAAAAAAGTGATTCTTGCGCATATCTATTCAGAGGATTCAAATGTTTTATGAGCAAAAATCTTCAATTAGTTCAACAAAGTATTAAACAATAAAACCCACTACATTGCACATAAAATTACAAATATAATCGCAGATTGAGAAATAAAACCATTTTAATTTTAAATATATTAAAGTAATACTCGACCAACATCTTATTATTTAAGGGTTGTCACATTATTCTGAAATAATAAAGACAATGTTAACATGAGAACTGATCAAAAATTTCGTTTTTTTAATTTCTTAGTTTTAACTTTAATTTAGTTTAGTGATGTTTACTGATGTTCATATTGATTGATTAACTCTATAGGTACACTCAAAAATAGTGAGTTGAAAATGGTATACTCATCGGCTTCGAATAGAGCTATATTATCTACATACATATTAAGGTACGTATCTTAAAATATTTTAAATTAAGCTAAAAAAAACGACTACTTTTACTGTAAGTTGAGATACTATGGCGAGTAAAATTGTGAAATCTTAACATTCCAAAGAATGCTCGAAGTGTGCTTATTATCGAATTTAAAAACACTATTAAATTTGGTACTGCAAACACTAGTTAACTTTGATAATGTATTGTAAGCCAATTTAAATTAGTAAGGAGCAAATTAGATTAGGTTAGGTTTATGCGGTTATCGGAGGATACGTTTATTCCAGGTAGGCCCATTGTGATAACGTTGAATATTATACCCCCACCCTTACTTGAACCAGCTCAAGTTCTTTATAAACCCGTTTGAATTCCCGGCATTTACGTTCGACAGGTCCGTAACTCAAAAAAATAAATGCGACAATATTATATTATTGTCAAAGCTATAGACATGAACACAGAAGATAGAAGTCCAGATGGAAAACAACTTATCGCAAATACATACACTTATACAATACAAATTCAAATGCAACTAAATAATTTCTCTAGCACATTATTAGAAATAATTTAATTTAGAAAATTAAATTATTTCAACAAAACCAGACAAATTAACCTAGTCTAGTTATAATCTCCATATAACTTGATATTACTAAACATTTTTTTCAGAAACTGTATAACACTTACATTATTCCTTTATTGTGCTCTATGTATGTATAATTATACGGTGGATGTGAACAAAGTAATACTAGATCACTCTATCAGGCAGTAGTGGAACTTGCTATGTGTCGTAAATAAAAATTGACATAATCCCTGCCTTTTTTATCAAAAGTTTACGTTTAAAAACACTAGTGGCTAGATTATTATACAAAAAACAAATCGGGAATATTAGATCGGTTCTTTTGTTCCGGTTCAAGGTTTTCTAAAATTTAAAAGATTGTTTCGGGTTTTTGAACTGGATAAATTTTTTAAGTTGGAAAACTCTACTAATTTTGTTTTGATGTTTTGTTTAATGCAAATTGTTTAAACTTTATTACGGTAATAGATACATACATATTTTGAAATAAAAATTTTTAATTAAATTTTGAAATTTTGAAATGTTGATCTTCCATTTTTTATTTAATTTAATAATGTCATTTACACTATCTTACAAAGCAATAACTGACAACAATTAAAAAAAAAACGATGAGAACGCAACTGGTAACAAATAGCATTACTAAATTTTAAGACCTAAATAAAAACCGCATATATAATTATTTCTGTTTTGAACTGTCATTTTTTTCATATCTGATCTTGAACTGGAACCGGAACAAAAGAACACAGCTCTCATAGATATAATGTTGTCCTATTAAAATTTTTATTGCTTCCAAATCCGCCATCTATAAATAAGTGTAATAATATTAATTGTTATTAGCGAACAGATGTCACTACTGCATAACACTTATACCGACACAATATTGTTTATAATAACGAATTCAAAAAATAGGTGGTGTATGTTTAGCATAAATGATTTAACTAACAGCATTTGATTCAAATTAAAAATCACAAAAAGTAAAAACAAAATAAAAAATTGTAACCACTTTCAAATGAACAATGAAAGAAAGTATGTGTGAACTTATAATTTAATTTAAAAATTAATTTATTAATTTAATGATCACCATAAAATAAATACGGCTCTTTTTACTTTGCATTTCATTAGATACGCTATGTTGTATTGGACTTATGACATGCATTTATAGGAGTACTGACTCCGTTTTAATTACACAAATTTGGGAATTGGTTTGTCTAATTATAATTGTTTCATTTTAAAGGAATGAAGAGGAAAAGAGAATACACTTAATTCTTTTATAAAGTTGTTTGCTTTTTAAGTAAGTTTTGTTGAATTTCTAGTTATTAGTATAGAATTAGTTTGTTCAATCAAAATTTATATCTAAATAGCAGTATACCAGTTTAGGAAATAACTTTTTGCAAGGAGACAAAAAACAACCTTCGTTCTGTAAATTTCTCGTACTTCCCTTGTAAGTTTTTTACAAGTGATTAATATACAATATTTTTTTCATAGAAAACCCAACGTATCGAAAAAGCTCGAATTTTCTGGAGACGTAAATTTAAAACTTTGTGACTAATTATAGTATTTAAATGTAGCACTTGTTTGTAATGTAGCACTTTTCCTTTTAGTAAGTGAAAATACGGCTTTTAACTTTACAATCTAGCACTATATTGTCAAAATTATTTTCACTCATACACGAATATATTTCAAAGATTGCATACATTTAAGATGACCAATGTATGCAATCTTTGAAATAAAACAAGAAAACAATTTAAAGAAGCATTAACATAATAATCGAATTTCAGGGTTAATTGCGTGAAATACGAAATATAATTGTATTTTTTAATGGCATGGTATTCGACGTTAGAGCAATATAAGCTGCTAAAAATTCTAACTTTACAAATTACGAAAGGCGATACCTCGAAAGGGGGTAGTGGTGGAAAAAAATTTTTATTCTAGGGAATTAATCTATTTATTAAAAGCTGTCTAAAAGCTATTAAAATTTCAAACTCCTACAATCTGCAGTCTACAAGAAATACAATATTAAAAATTTTGGTAAAAACGGGTTTTAGATAACAGTAAATTTTAACAGTCATTTTATTTCTTTGTTGTTTAGATATGGTATGCCGCGGTATAAGAAACCAGTCACTATTTTTCGGGATTTTGCAAAATTTGAAAAATGCTTATTGTTTCGGTGCACTAAATACTGAAAAAAGACTCTTTAGGGTTTTGTGGGGCTATAACTTTTAGAAGGGCGGTGGGCAATAGGTGAAAATTTTCTTCTACGGAAATAAGAAGAAAAAATAAATTCAAATTTAAAGTTTGATGCCAGATTATATTTTTTTTTTATTTTTTTTAGATAGGTACTCAAAATTCTATTATTTCTATAATTCTATAAATTCTATAAATAATATATTATTTATTATCTTTAAAAAATTTACAAGTTTGCACTTATTAAAAAGTTTCTTTCACTTCGGTTCTTCCATTTCGTGGCATAACCTATCATAATAGTGTTATATCATTTCTTATGTATGTACGAATGTATGAATGGATACATGCAAACACATACATTTTGTAGCTATAAAATTAAAAGAAATTTCATAGTACCAAACAATTAAAAAAAAAAACAATGTGCAAACGAGATTAAAGTTAGTACAATAAGTTATGCGGAGATTTCTTTTAAAACAACTTCTTAGTAATTTGACGTTATCTGGAAGATTTTATGTTATTTTCTAAGCCTTTTTATTATGCGAACCATTTCTAATAATAGCATTTCTAAAACAAAATCAAATTAAGATTGATTTTGCTTTCATTTCAAGTTTCTCTTTTTCAAAAAGATTTTTAAAGAAAGTTTTTAATAGAAGAGTTTCGCATTAAGTTTTTATATCTTGATATTGTTCTGGGTATTTCTTAAAATTAATTTTCTACTTTGTTTTATAATTTTGTATGATCTTTTATACGATTTAAAAGTTATTGATTCTGATTTCTCTTAAATATTTAAACTTTGTTCTTTAAAATAATTAAATTAACTTTTATAAAGCAAAATATAACAGTTAGTTGGTACAAATATGATTGAATCAATTCAGTAACAAAACCCAGATTACTTTTACAAAAATTAAATAGAAAATTTTGAACTCTAATCACATTAAAACAAGAAATATATTTAAGCTTTTGCTTGGCACATACATTTGTACATATATACATATATATTTATTTATAACCTTATAAAAAACTAAAAAGTACTTATTTAACAAAATTAAACATATTATTCAACATTAACATAATTTACTTGGTAATTACAAAATTTCTGTATTTTACTAAGGCACGTCATTATGATGTTGTTGAAAGTCTAATTATTAAAACATAATTAAACCCATTAAATTTTTTGTTTTTTTAATAATAAATTGTAAGTTCATCTCTATATTTAAAAATTGTACTGTAACTTTTGACATTTTCTTTTAAACATTTATGTAACTTTGAAGCAACTAAACATAATCCTTGATAATAACGTGCATTGGCATAATGTGCACATTTTTCTATTTCAATTCTATACCGTGGTGACATATCAATTTTACTTCCTAATTTTAGACTAATCTGATTTACTTCTGAATAACTTTGAAGAATTTCTTTCACCTAAAAATAAATGAATTATTCACATTTATGTTCACATATAAATCTATGCATATGTACATGTAAAATGTTGGTTAAAAGAATATTTATGGACAGTGATCCAAAAATAAATTTGAAATAAAAATGACTTGTTTCATTGAAAGACTACATAAAGTGATCGTTAGCTGTAATGTAAATTTTCGATTGTTCTGATGAAAAGCTCAGATAAACGCCAAATTGAATTGTTATAATTCATTTTAATTGAATTGAAATAATATTCCGATGTTATTAAGGCAAAAATTTGATTTGTAAACATACATACGTACATATTATATGGATTTTTTCTTAATTTAAATTACAATACATTAAAAAATCAAGCAAATTAAATGCATCCGAAAGGGCTCTGTTACGCTGATGGAAATCTCGCGGGCTGGTGTTTCTGCAATACTGCAATAAGTCAATAATAAGTCACCTATATAGGGATGGGAATCACAAAAGACCCTATGGGTCGATGTGAGTCCACTACGGAAAAAACAAATTGTTCAACTGCTAATTCTTAATGACTTGAAAATTCATTTTTGCTAATCTTTATTTTGGATATATTAGCAAAATTTATGTTATGCTAGGTATATTGTATTGATTAGCCCTCTTTAACATAAAAATGTTTTACTTAAAACAATTCTGTGCCTAAATTAAACAATATAATATTTTTATTTGTAGCAAATTTTTAATAATGAGATGATTATTTCACAAGCTTTTGTTTCCGAAGAAAAACAGACAACATTTAAAAAAAAATAACAAAAGAGCATCCAAAAAAGTGGAATAGAATTAAACCTTTAAATCTTTTCTTGCGATAACGAGTGTTTCTTGTTTCTTAAACCTTTATATCTAAACAATGTTTTGAGAAATAGACCATCTTTACAAATGCTCAAATTATACATTATAAAGTATATGTCCAGATGGCAAATTACATCAGGCTGGACGGTATGATTTAGTTAATAAAAAATTCCATATAGATCTATAGATATTCCATATAAATTTTATATAAAACGACTTAGTTTTAGCGTCACTGTATTAACATTTACTGTATATATTAGATTGAGGTCAAAATGAAGACCCATATAGAAAAATAAAAACAAAATAAATACTATGTAAAATAAACAGATTTAAAAAGTTTTTTGAACTTACATCCACTCTTCCATATGCATCAATGAAATGAAAGTATTGATAAATACATTTTTCTAAGCATTTACTAAAATTAGAAAAAATTGAAAAATCCGAAATAGTTTCAGAATAGAAGTAATTTATTGAATAATTATAACAGAAATCAGAAGCTTTTTGACCTACTGGCTTACTTATGGCACTCTGAAAATAAAAATATAAAAAAAATAATTTATTTAATTTAATTACTATTTAAAATGTTTTATTTTCAACATATTATGAACGTATGTAGAATCAAATTTGTAATAATTACTCATATTCAAAGTAATGTAGGTATACACACTTATAATTTCCATCCACGATCGATTATTTAAGAATATGTGAAAATTATTTAAAAAAAAAAAGTCATTCAGCTGATGTTTAGCATCTATGAAGAACTGAATGATGAGAAGATAAGCAAATTATATCAATTCTTTCGCCATTATTTTACTGTCTTTACAAAAATATGTGGACTAGAGATTTACATTTGCATTTTAAATAAAAAGATACTCAAATAAATTTCTGTGGATAACTTATTTTTTTAAAATAAATTTTTATTTATACCCCACCCCCTCTTCTCTAAAAATTATACCTCCTCCACAAAATAAAAATTTTTATAAATCAAGAGTAAAAGTCAGTAGTGTCATCGTTTTAGTGCAAAATGGCATAGGATAGTGTTAGTATAACAAGATTAACCATTCAAAAATATGATAATAAAGGGTTAACCGACAAAAATAAAATAGGGTAAAAACTATACTGGTATTACAATAAAATAATTTACTATGGTATTGTCTTAATTACTAAATAATTGTGTAATAAAAAATCTTGAGCACTAACTTGTATACCCTTATAAAATTGATTATTAAAAAAATTAAACTTACATTTCTTAAATTAGTAAATCCATTTCGAATATCATTTATTCCAAGTCGGTCAATTAAAAATACCCACATTTTGTAATACGATTCACAAGTGCTGTCTAAAGGTTTAAATATTTCTTCTACCAATTTGTTATAACTGGTTAAATCTGACATTGATAACGCATCTAACGCTGTATTAGATCTTTTTAATATTAACATGAATTTTTTCTTCTATAATTTAAAAAAATTAATAAAATTCGTATTACATACATGTATATTTTTATACATATTTACAATTGCATATTATTCATTAATTGCAATAAATAAATTACTTGTAAATTTTGTAAATAAAGCTATTCTCTATATGTGTGTAAAGGAAAGTAAAACACAAAAACTTACATTTAAGCCCATGTCTTTTAAATTAATTAGTCCTAATTTGTAAAAAATGCATTTAATGTAACAATGAGTTAATTTATTGTCTGGAAATTTCCATACGTTCCATAAAAGAATCAATCGTGTATCTGCATTAGATTCATTTTGACATCTTTGAAATGCAAATCTTATATTTTCTTCTTTTAATTGGTAATTATAGTCATTCTCTTGCTACAAATAAAAGAAAAAATAGCAAAAAATTATAATAAAAATATTTGTCTATTTATAATTATGTATGTATGTATAATTATTTATACATTTTTTACTACACAATGTAGTTCCTTACATTTATGTACATACGTAAATCAATACACATATTTATTTTATATAAATATACATAACTGCGCTACGCGGTATTCTAAGGTTACTTTAAATGCATGTATGGTCAATTTGTCTCCAAAGTTCTGGTATACCCAAGTTCAAGTTTCAAGTCATTTAAATATAAATAAATAGGGAAATGTAATTAAGCTTACAATTTCAAACGATTTTAAAGCTAAATTAAATTCGAAATATTTTTAGTGAACTCTACAGGTTTGCGCACAAATGCATAATTAAAACTTTTGCACTCGGTAAACATATCTACCGATACTATTATAAAATCAATACTTAGGTATACATGTATGTAAAAATTTAATTAGTATTAACATTAGTAATAAAAGTAAATTAAAAAATAATTTTATTAATATTCTTGATAACCTTAAAAACATATTTTTAAATTTACGTTAAAAACTTGATAACAGTGTCTTAGCTGCGGAATTCATTATGTCCCCCAACAAATTTACATAGATATTTCTTTTTATACCAATATTCAACAAAATTTTCGAACAAAATTTAAAGAGATTTTGCTAATCTGTCAAACGATTTGCCACATTTTGGTGTATTTTTTAAAGCCATTGCCGAAACCTTGTACTGCACCAATTCTTTGTAGGTACCTGTTCCAGTGACCCCAATTGCTGAATTTTAAAACTAATTTGCGTGTAGAATGTGATTATGAGTAAGAATATATATAATTTAGAGGGAACAATAGCTTCCTTTGTGACTTTACATACGTGACAAAATAAATATATTCCCTGCGCATGCAAAATATGGGCTGATATAAAAATATGGCAATATTATTAAACATGAATTGCTGTAGCGTTTTTTTAACTATTGTGCCGGAATCTTTCAAATTTATTAACTAGAAATTTCCATACGTTCCATGAAGGAATCAACACTGAAATATGCAATGTCACATAAATTCAACTAAAGTTTTCAGTATGTCCAGCACTCAAAGAAAAGAAATTTGTATATAGAGAGCATTTTCCTTTTTTCAGGACAAATTACTATTTAACAAACTTAATCAATGCTTATACTACAATCTTGAATTGATTTGCAAATATGTTAATATACATACGTACGTATGTGAAGAATGCTGAAGAGTACCTATTAATTCATTTTACTTTTGTTTATGGATATAATCAAAGATTTTAAATTGGTTAATTTGAAATATAAAGTTCAAGTTCTAATCAAACGATTTTCAACATTAATTAGGAGTTAATTTATTATTCCTGGTCAATCGTAACGCACTCGGGGAAAAAAGTGTTATTATGTTGAATACCGTCATAAATTACCTTATCTTTTTTGTTTATAGTATTATTCTGAAATGAAAAGAAGAAAAGCTTAATTTTTTGCAACCAACAAAAGTGATTTTATAATTTACAAGCAATATTAATAAATTTTTCATTCTATTAAATTTTTCTTATTGTTAACCTTGAAAATCGAATTCTATTAGTGCCTAAAAAAAAACTTATCCAAATATATCACAATTTTAAGCAAAACTATACACAAGCCCACAATACTATTTTACCATTAGAATTGGATTTTGTAGCCAAAAATTCATTAGTTTTCATAGTAAGAGATAAAATAAATGATAATACGTAGCTCCACAATCAGGAAACAATAGATTTCCTTATTCATGCTTTCTTTAGTTAAATTTATTTTTATTTTTCTGAATTTTTTATAAACGAATTGTTTGTGTTATTCATTAGTTAAATCTTTTAATAAAATATTAGATATTGTTGAGATTGTAAGTAACGTATTAGATTCATTATACAAAATAGGATAGTACAACCCAAAATATATGATAGAAGTAGATAAAATAAGTACAAATGAAAGATGAAAGTAGATAAGCTACCTAAATTTAAAGTACATAATAAAATATAATTAAAATTTTTAAGAGGGCAAAATTTAATTTAATTTACTTTCGAATAAATCTGTGATTGAAAAAAGACAGAAAAATTCTTGCTTACAATAACAAAATGAGTCGAAGAATAATCGAATCTTTGGGACACAAAATCTAACGACGAAGTTGAAACAACATATACTTACTACTAATTCAAAAAATTTTTATAAACAAAACCCGAAAATTTCAAATCATAAATTAAAAATTGAAATAAAAGATTAATTATTGTAAAATTTATGTATTGGTTATTGTAAAAATCCAACGACTGCTTATCAGGGCCCCACTGTTTTAAAAGAAAATGCAACTATGCATACAACTTATTATTAAATGTATTATACTGTTATACCTATGTATTATAACTTCCTATGTTAAAAGTTAAAAAAAAATGATAAACCCCTTTGATAGCAATAGGTGGGTAATTTAAAAAATGTATAAAATTAAAAACACAAAATATTGCAGCATTATTATGCTTTCAAGCTCATATCTACACGCACCATTCACCAAGAGACCTTATCAACAAAAATTCATCACAAATATTAAAATTATTTCAAATTATCAAGTCAATATTAATTACTACATACAAGACCATAAAACTAAATATCAAATGCCTCCCCTATTTAATTTGTTTGTTCAATTATAGATACATATATGTATATACAATGAATATATATATTTATATGCCCAAAATATATAATGCAATATGTACCACTACCTATGTATGTATGAATATCTTTTCTCATAAAGTTCTTATAATATTTAGATAAGCTTATAATAGTTTTAACGCTTTCTTTTAAAAACTCTAATTTAAACAATATGTAAGTAGGTGCTTACCAATTTATGTACATATATTTGTAGGTACACAAAATATCGAACTTCGTTATATGCATGTACATAGATTTATTTACACAAATAATGTAATTTTGTAGGCACATATTTGTATTAAAAAATAAAACTAAAATAAACAAACTTACCCCAATTACCGGTATAACAAAAGCGTTTAAAAATAATACAGTTATTAAGAGTAATAATGATACTGATAACGGTTTATAGTAACTTAAAAGCGTTGTAATTAATATCACTGCAAGGCAATATAAATCCATCCCAACTGAAGTCTAAAAGTAAACTAAAATAAATTAACAATTTTTTTAATTTTTAAGAGAAAAACTAGAGAAGCTTAACGCCACTAGCAAGGCATACCTTGTAGAACTTAAATAGTAAAAAAGATATGAAAATTATTTTTTGTTTTCGGTTTTCATTTCACATATTTTTGGTTTATATTTTTTCTTTTTTTACTATACTTGCTACTTACTCTCTTTTTGTAATATGTAAGTATGTCAGCTAAGTTTTGATATTTTTTTAGAAATTATAAATAAAATTTTATTTTATTATTTACTTATTTGTTTAAATTTTTCGACAAAAATATAATACACATGAATAAAATAACAATATGGCAGAACTTCGTAAATAAGTACATGGAAAACTTTAATCACAGGGGGCTTAGCATTTAAACGATTTAGAATTTTAAAAACATTCTGCTCTTCAAATCCAATTTTTGATCATTTCAATTACATATGTACTCGCACATATGTATGTTCAACAAAATTATATGTAATATGTCAAAACAAAAAACAAATTTACCTGATACGTATAATGTCAAATATTTGTGTTTAATTAAAAAAATTACGAGATTTTTCATTTTAATTGAGTCATAATCTCTGAGTCTATTTTATCTCGCGTTTCATTTATACTCATATACAATATACTTTTTAATATTTAACACTCATTTAATTGGAGTTTCGTATTCTTTTCTTTTCAAAAGTTATTGACTGAACTTGAACTTGCCAATATTGTCACATTGAGACAAGATGTGTAAAGGGTTACCAAATTATAGGTTTGTCTGTCCAAACTTTATAAAACTTGAAAAAAACTTTATGAACTTTTAGTATGCAAAGGGTCTGGTTACGAAAGAAAAAATGAGAGAAAATGATGACGCCATCAAGTTTCGTAAAGTAAAATTTGCGGTTTTAAAAAGTTTTAAAATCATAAAGCTGCCAGAAAATATATTTTCGTTATATATGTATGTTAAGCTATAACTGAAAAGTATAAAAACTATCTAAAATATGTAAAATATTAATATTACTCGAAAGTTACACTACGCCAGAAAATGAACTTTAAATCCACCGCAAGTAGAAAAGCCAGATATACCTACAACACAACCAACCGTATGGTCTAGTAATGCCTTATAAATTGCAATGACATTGTGCTTTATTTAGATTAAAAGGGTTCACACTCAAGGTTCACAATTTTTAGAGCTATGATAATAGCAAAAAAATATATTTAATACTAGGACATTGCCTTATATAAACAGAAGAAATAATTTTACAGCTGATTAAATTTGTGCATTAAAACCAAAAACTTCAGCAGCCGAAACTGTTCAAAAGAAAGATAATATTCTGCATTTATAATACGGCCGACTGTTATTTCACATGTTTCAACATGAAAACTAAAATTTTAAAAACTACTTTTATTACTTAGTTATTTATTAACATTTTGCAAATTTGTTAATGACAAAAGAACTACTAATTAGTGTTATTATTATATTATTTTTGTAACAAATAATATGAAAAATTTATAGCAACTTTTCCTTAAGGACGTTTCTGATTGTTAAAAACTCTGGGGACGTTTTGAGACGAGTTTTAGAAATTTCGGTTAGCAGCTTAATTCAAGTTAAACCATTAAGTCGTATTAACATATTTCAAGCTCAAAATTTTTCATGGAATTTTACACTGTGCGAATTAGCCTAGAATTGAAAATATCAATTTCTCAAAAGCATTGTATGTCGACTAAAATACTGTCAAATTTATTATCGTTTTGACTTGTATTGTGATACTTAAGTTAATCGTAGAGAAATTAGAAAAAGGAGCCAATAGTATCCAATAGGTACAAAAATACTGAATTAAAATATTAACTATGTATATGCTAGAAACAGTTGTAATTTTGTATTCCTGAAAATAATACATATAATATTTTCAAAAAGCATATTATTAAAGCGAAAATAGTTAAAATGAGCGCTTAATCAAAAAAAGTTTAAATGTTCACTTTTTTATTTAAAAAACGCGGCTTTAACATTTATTCGAATCTGTAAAAATTGTCCATCTCTTGAGTAATAGTAGAACTTTAATGTGTAGTGTAAAATTTTAGTTGTGTGTTGTCAGCTAGTGTTTGATGGGTAAATGTCAAATGCACACTTGATGACTGTCTATTGAATGTCAATTGTCAAAATTCTTTTAGATATATGAAAAGTTTGCTTTAACATAAAATTTTGATTTAATATCAAGTTTATAATTATATTAATTATAAGTAAATGAATATTATTTATTGCATCAAGCAAAATTCAAAATGTCGTATAATTATGAAGATATGCAGTGGTCAGGTAAAACAAAATTGATTAAAAGGTTTAAAAAAGTAAGCGATTAGTCTCAAATCATTGGGGTCTAATTGGAAAGCTCGTGCCTTGCAAATCATTGAAAACCATGTCTTTTTCTTAGTATAGTAAGTAAATGATTTTTAATTTCAGATGTTACAGATCTTTTAAGAAAATGGAGAGAAGATAATGTTAGAAACAGTGATAGTATTATTCAATTATGGGAAGCTGTTCTAGAAGATAAAATACATAAGGTTGGTAATGAGAGGCACTTAATATTAGAGCAAGTAATTATAGCCGCCTTAGATGTTGGACGTTTCGATATTGCTGAAAAATGTATTAAGAGTTTATCAAGCGAATTTCCGGGCAGTATGCGTGTTCAAAAGTATAAGGCCATGAGGTTTGAAGCTTTAGAAAAGTATGATGAGGCATTAGATGTTATCGAGGCTATAATTCGAAAAGACGAGACCAATGCAGCTCCGCGAAAGAGGAAAGTTGCAATATTAAAAGCTAAAGGGAAAATTCAAGACGCAATAAAAGAACTTTGTGATTATTTAAAAAAGTAACGTGGTCTCAATATTTCTTTTGTAATTTTGGACAAATTATAATATTTTTTAATTTAAGATTTATGTCGGACCAGGAAGCTTGGCATGAACTATGCAATCTCTACCTCTCTGAGGGTGAATATGCTAAAGCAGCATTTTGTATGGAGGAAGTTTTACTACACAATCCGCATAGTCATTTGATTCACCAAAGATTAGCCGAAATTCGATATACAATGGTAAATATTTCAGGTAGAAACCGAATTTTTAAAAATATAGAAAATTATCTTAGGGTGGAATGGAGAATATTGAAATCGCAAAAACCTATTACTCCCAAGCTATTAAATTGAATAATAAAAATTTAAGAGCGTTGTATGGTTTATATCTGGTAAACTTATTTCAAACATTTTCGTAATTTTATAAAAAAATATTGTTGATTCTAGTGTTGCAACCATATTGCTAATTCGAAGGCAGTTATATCAAAACGAAAAGAAGCACAAAAACTTGGGCAGTGGGCTCTGAATCAAGCAACAGAGATAACTAATTTCAAATCGAAATTATGCAATCAAGAAAAAATTTTAGCATCATTAACAAATGCATTTGGTAGTATGGATATCAAGTCTAACTGATAAAATTAGAAATAGATAAAATAAAAAATACGATAATTAATATTAAGTATTCGAATTACTGAATAACGTTTAAATGGTTTTCAAAAACATAAATTTATGTTCTTATCTATTTAGATATACTATTTTATACTTCATTCGTTATATATCTAAACAAAAACTAGAAAAAGATATAATTGAAATTTATTTGTTTTCAAAAATTTCATTTTAAATATTTATTTGAGATAATTTAGTAATTTTCGGTTAAAGCAGCATTTAGAAATGTTCATTTAAAATTCATTTTTTGATAAATATGTATTTAACATCTTTTTTTTTTTTGATTAGTCAGTGAACCCAAATTGCACATAAAATTTCAAAAATCACATCTAATTAACTTTTAAAGAAATTGTTAATAGAAAAAGCGTTGCAAATAAATTTAATTGGAAATTAAAAATGTGCAAGAAATTTTTTTATCAAACATCAACTTTCACTGTTTTAAAGATCTAAATATGTTAGCCAAATAGTTGATCAAAAAAAAACTTATTATTATTTTAGAATTAAAAAAATTACCAAAATTCTTGTGTTTGTTTAAAATTTTTAGATAAATTATAGTGAAAAAAAAAACAATTCTTGTTATGGAAAATTCAAATAAAATATGGAAATTAGGTAAATTCTTTTTATATTATAATAAATATAAAAATTAAAAAAAATGTTTAAATGGGAAAATAAAAAGATTATATATTATGTCAATAAAATTTGAAGCATTTATATAAATAAAATTGAAAATGGTTTAAGTAATCCTATATTTTCTATTTTATTTGACATCTTTCCTTACAAAATTTTTGGTCCTTATAAAGTTTCGGTATTCTTATAATAGAAAGAAGTATAGCAGGATAAAAAAAAATTACCCCAATCTTTTGATAAGTATAATTATCTTTCTATACTCTTGTATAGAGAAATTGTTCCAATAAGTTCATTCAAAATGTTGGAAGTAATATTCAAAGTAATATCCAATAAGTAAAAGAAAAATAAAAAATTCTGCATATTACGTATTTTATAAGCATACAAGATTTTAATGAATATTTTACATAACATTATTTACATAAGTAAGATTAATAAGAATAAACCAAATTTGATAAATTTCTTTTTGCAATCTATATATAATGATTTACGTAATTTAGTATTTACATAATATCTATAACCTATTAAACTAAAATCAACAGTTAACTGGTGTAGCACTTTAAACTATACGTTTTTGATTTTCCAACATCTTGAGATATTGGAAATCCCAAATATTTTGCCACTTTGTCCTCAGCAAATACATAACTTTTAAGATTTTACCCATTTCTGAGTTTTCATGAGTCGATGTTACTGGAGCTCCGTCAAAATACATTAAAGTGGGAAGTAGTTCAGCAATTTCCTTTCGATATATCCTTTCTTGATCTTGACTGATGCCGTTTAAACAGGTTAAACCAACAGGATTACACATCATTGATAATTGTTTGATATTCGGGCACTTTATTTTTAATTGCAAAACCCAATCATTTGTGTTAATAATATTACAATTATTTAACCTAAAAATATTTAATGTTTTGTTTATTTATTGTAAAAGAATTCAGTCTCAAATTGTTAAGTATTTTTGTTTTTAATTTAGAATTATTATAATATTAATTTCTGTAACTTTAATTTTATATTTATTCATTTATTTACCATAAAATTTGTAATCTTGGCAAATATGGTAAAGATTTGAAATTTAGTCGAGGATTTCGATCTAACACTAAAGTATGGAGAAGTGGAAAATTCGATAAAAATTGAAGATTTTGCAAGTTATTGTATGTTAAATCTAAAAATTTAATATTTTTTCCTAAATATAGTGCTAATTTTCTTGGAAAACGATTCAATTCTCTGTATGCAAGTGAAACTCTTTCAAATTCGTATTTGATTTCCTCTTGTGTAATTTGTATTTCTTGAAACGAAAAACAATTTTCATTCAAAGACCTAAAATTAAGAAAATAAAAACAATATTAATAAAAAAAAAAAAAAAAAATATGTTTATATTAAATATTTACAAAATATCTATATCCTTGTAATATTTCATTCTATTTGTCTTCAGTTAAAATACGTGGTACGCAAATTTATGTACAAAGCTGCGTTTTAGAATAAAAACTATTTTGAATTGTGTTTACAATATTTAAAATTAAAAACAAATTTTCCCCACTCTCATTCAAGTTGAATGATATACGAATGTGTATAGCTATATGCACACTTACTTTTGCATATACATAATTACTATTTACAAGTACTAAAAATTTATGTTTTGTATATACATACATATTTAGCGTATTTTAATAAAAATTACAAAATAATATTATGTGCTTATTATCTCCACTGTTTTTCCTTTTCATTATGAATAATGTGAAGAAAATTTACAGACCACCTTTTCTCTAAGATGAACTTGCAAAAATTAAAAATGCAGACATTTTTTTAATTCAGAAATTTAAAATAAAATGACGACTCGTACTGTGAAATAATGTAGAACATTATCACAATAGCTACTGAAATTACCCATTACCTTTATCTTCAACGATAAGTACTCTAGATCACTTTACTAGTCGCTCGTTTTTAACATTATTTTGTCTCTTGTCCCTCTTTTACGGAAGGAATTTTTTTTTTGTTTTTTAAGAAAGTATTTTTTCTTGTTTAAGTAAAATGTGCTGCTCTACAAACCATTGACTTAGTTCGAATTTATTATTACTTAAGTTTACCAATTGATAAAAATTTTGAAATAACAGCATTACAATATTAATTTAAGGTTCAGTGTATGACGCATTTATATAAGTATTTTCACTGAAAAATTATCAATTTTATATTGATTAAAATTATATTTTTATGTGTTATTTACATAAACTATGTGCAACTAAAGATGTAATGCACCTATATGTAAGTAAAAATTTTGGAAGTAGAAGGCACGCTTATTAATCACTAATCAGTGACAACGTTACTGATGTGTTTTAAAGTAAACAATATATTAGTACCTACAACATAATATTCATACATACATATTTTCACAAATATAATAATATAAAGGCGACCAATCATTTTCCGTTCAGGAAGGACGGTACCTATTATTTATTAATTCTCTTTAAAGAAGCTGAAAGACTAATTTTTTATTTAAATTCTGAATTTATATTAAAAAGGCGAAAATATCTAACAAAATTTAAATAAATTTAGTTGTACTTTAGTTGTACATTTGCTATGCAGATGTCGATATAATGCAACTATTACAACATTTTTTCATATAATGTAGTTGGTAGTTTAAGAACGCTTCTTGGAAAAGTGAAATTTTTTTAAAAATGACACTTATAAGATCAAATTTTTAAGTTCAATATGTAGTCAAATGCAGCGTTTAAAAAAAAATTTAAATTTCTTGTACCTTTGTATGTTTTGACTGAAAACATTAAAAAAGTTGCTTTAGCGGGATATTTAATTGTAATTACTGCAATTTTGTATAACTCAACCAAATATTTTATTTATTTCTTTACATTTTGTTATTAAAATTTTTCGTTCACTCTTTTATTGTGTTAAAACTGGTCACTTTAATATTATTATTACTATACGTTTGCTTTAAATGCAGAAGTATAGTTGTTAGATAATAATAAAGCCACTTTATATTTAAGGGACTTTATGAAAATATTTTGTTTAATAAATCTTCTTCATTAGGTTGCGTTTACTCATTACTCAAATAATCCCAAAATGTGACACAAAATTATACACGTATGTATATATATGTACATTTAAATGAACTCTGAACCCTTTATTCTAATATATTAACTTGTTAACGTTCTGTAATTACTACAGTAGACCAATAAAATTGATCTACCACTTTTTGAATAATGAGAAAGTAATTGCTATTATTATACCTACATATTAATTATTCATTAATATTAGAATATTGAAACATATACATGTATGCATAGCAAAATTATGTAGGAAGACATAATGAGCCAGATATGCGTTTCATTACGGCTTAATTGCCTTAGACCTATAAAAATATTCAAAATTTCAATGGTTATTCTTCAAATTATATTTGTACAATATACAATAAATCTTAATTACAGTTTTTAATCCTCATTACAGTTTTGAAATGTTTATCTATTTTTAAATAAGTTTTAATTATAAACACATACACCAATTTTAATTGCTTTCAACAAAAATCATATCATAGCCATTTTTCGATTCAAACGTTGGAGCACGGTTATTAAATTTCAATAACGAGTTTAAATATGCCAATACACATTTAAAAATTCACAAAATTTTGTTATTTGAGTGCTTTTACAAAATGCTGAGACAATAAATCCTGAGAACAGTAGCATGAAAAATTTAATTTTACTTTAAAAAGAAAAGCTTATAAATTGCCCAAAACTACAAGCTTATAATTGCCGAAATATATGTTGAGTGAATTATTTAGTTCATTGCACATATATGTAAGGACAACAATTTAATTTTAAAATAAGAATTTCTATCAGGATGAACAGTAATATGTTCAATAGTAATTTCTTGTCATGTCAGTAGTTTTATACACTATATGCACATATTCAATTATAAATAGACAATCGATTTAATTTTTTTTTCGAAAATAATTAGATAGGCAAAATTTTTTTTATATTTTAAAAATACGAATGGCTTAACTCTCCACTCTTGTAATCTAAAGTGATGGTTCCGTGAACGCGGAGGTGATTATAAAGAAAGTGAATAAAATAAATTATTATGGAAAAATAATACAAGTAAAAATTTACTTTAGATACTGTTTAAACAATTAAAACAGGACTCTGTGTAAAATTTGTAAACCACAGGAAACAAAAAATAAATTATTTAAAGCGATAATTTTAATCGACGATTTAGATCGACAATTTTGACCGGCCTTTGGACTTAGAATAATTTTTTTAATCTATTCTATAATTTAACAAAAATACCAGAAATTTAATTTAACAATATTGTGTGCAAATACGAGTATGTACCCCAGCATATTTGTTTAATATACACGCAAAAATATTTACATAATAAGTTTAATGTACTAATATAATTGTATATAAAATAATATAAAATTGTATATAAAATAATTGTATATAAATTGTATATAAAATTATATAAATGTAATATAATTTTATTATTCCAAGCAAGTAATATTAATAATTTATTCTTAGTTGAAACGATGGGAAAACGAAAGAAAATCAACGAAATATTTTGTATGAGTATAGACTAAAACTTTTATGCAAGCTAGAGCTGTGAATCCGTATTAATAAAGTATGCTTTTAATCTGGGCTCTGAATATTTGCAAATTATTAAAGAACCTCATATAAATTTTAACTTTGAATATATAAAAAAATATTATTGTAATTTTTCATAAATCATCAAAGTGAAAAAAAAATCAATATGAAAAATATTTGCTGAATTTTGATTATTAACTCCTAATGAAGCCGTAACAGGTAGAAAGACGGTTGATATATGTATATGAAATTAAACTCATTTTACTGGGATGCCACATGCGCTTAAACTAGAGAAAGTTGTAATATCAGTACTTGAATATTTTCAAATATAAAATAACGCGATTCCGAAAATTGGAAAAAATTATAATACTAGTGTCTGTTTGTGACAAAGCTGTTAGTCTTCGATTTCAAAATCATTTTTAATTATAACTCTATTTAAAGAAAATTTGGTTATAATTAATGGTGCGGAAAATCAGTATTTCAGAATCTTTTGAGCGGTCTTAATATAAACTCACATCATAAAAGAAAGCGATAATTCAAAAACTAATTGAGCTAAGCTCTCCAACAGTAAAGATGTTTTGTATAGTAGCACATTCCGGAACTCTTTTTAATTCCAGTTGGTTTTGGTAAGTGCTACATAATTTGATATTATTTTCACTGCAATTCTAAAGTTGATAACAAAAACATATTCATAAAGATGACATTGTCATCTCTACTTATTGTTTTTTTTGAAAATTTTTAAATAAAGATTTAATGTGTAAGAAATAAGTATTGAGCACGTTCGAAGGGTAAGTAAATCATATCAATTATTAAATTGTAATTAGAATTTCTGCAAATTCATTTCTTTTAAAGGTTTTCACTTTTATTCTTACTCATACACATGGTATGTATAACTATCATCGATGATCGAAATAGCCTAATATGAACAACCGAGTTAAAAATGCTTAGTGTAACAATAGGTTATTTTTATTTTAAATATTTTAATAAATTATCAGCATATACATATATTAATTATTTGCCTTATTCATTGTAAAATTATTTCATTTAGGTAGACTGCTTAACTGTTATATGCTATAATACTTAAATGATATAATATTAAAATTTAATAATAATATTCATGAGAGTATCACACAACATCTGTTTTAAAAATCTAACTTATACCTATTGTACCTAATACTATTAATGTTAAATCAAGTATACAACCATATGTACCTATGTACATAATATATGCAAAAGAGAGTTCTAACTATAAATAATTATACAAGAAACATTTTTATATTATCAGATGTTATTGAAGAGTAACGTAGAGGGTAGATGATTATTGTACTCGTATCAATGATGTGTAGTTAAAAAAAGCATAAGCGCAGAAAATGGCAAATTAAATGTGAAACACTCACCCGTTTAGGAGTTTCGCTCCTTAAATTTAAAAGCTCCTTATTTTCATCATGTTAATTTACAAATGCATGTACCAAACTATTTATAGTTATATTTTTAAAAAAATATACATACATTTATTTGGAATATGTTGATTTTTTAATTGTACAACTTTCTTTATTTTTGAAACAATTTCTCCGGATTCAATTGTGTCAATATATCAATAATAATTAAACATTTATCGTGCCTAATCCATTAAATATATATTTACTCGTGCAGATGTAGATAATAATTTCGCTTAAGAGTTCATCCAATAGTATAAGCATTTTTCTTTAAGGATTATACAGAGGAATTTTATAAACTTTTTTTGTTTTCGATTTCATATGACATGCTTGTATACACAATATGCTTACGTATGAGTTGATATAGGAAATAAGTGCTAAAATTGTAAAGTCTAATTAACAAACTATAAATCTACGTTATATATATACATATATATATAAGATACGGCTATTTATTACCCATTATTTTATACCAAATTGTAAGTTCTAATGCATAATCACGTTCATATTCATATATTTCGTATACCCAAAGTATAGTATGCGTCAATAAATATATTTTTGAATTTCACTAATTTTTAAAATTAGATATTGATAGTATGTAATTGGAAACAAATTAAATACAAATTAAAGGTAACTACAAATACATAAATATTCACATACAAGTGGCTTTCATATAATTGAGCATAGCGACAATCGAACATACATAATAAAATGAAATAAAAGTAATTAAATCTGGTAAAATTATTTGAATGTTATAACGTGAAACCGAAAAAGAAAAATAAAGTGGGAAAATAGCCAGAAAAACCCTTGATCATATAAACATTGTGTGCGTGTTTGTGTGTATAAAGCTATGCAAATATTTTGGTATGGGTAAAAATTATTTCCCCGAACATTTTTAATCTCAATAATTTTTGAGTACCTACATACTTACCTTTAATTTTTTGCCTGAAAATATTTTATAAAAAGGATGCTTTTTAAATTCGTAGATTTAGTTGCTGACTAAAATTTACCATGCGAACAATAACATTGTAAAAAAAATTAACGTGAACTCCACTTGAAAATAAAATTTTAAGAGAAAAATATAGGATCAACCCAAAAGGATTATTGCTTTCTCGAAATTTATGTGAAAATAGAATAAATTTAAAATATGAATAATATAATAAAAAGATTTAGTCCAAGTCGTAAAAATAGTAGATCTGGGTAAGTAGTATAAGAAAAAATCATACATGTATGTGTGTATAGGAAGAACAATAATTTGTTAATGCGAGATTCATAACTGTAGATTTTGACAATAATTGTAATTTGTGTGTCAAATAGTTTTTTAATTGAAATTTTATGTGTTGTGACTTTTGCTTTTCACATATGTACATACAGATATAGGTACCATTTTAAAGTTAGTTTTTGCCCTTGTATTATATTTCCGTACGCCACCAGCAGTATTCGATATAGAAGTACCAAACTCCAATATATCAATTTAATAAACTCTGTAATTGTCAAAGTTTATAAAATTATTATTGAAACAGGAGGCCTTCGAACTCTATGCAAATAATACACATAGTAGCTCAAGATTATAGTTTGAGTTTTTTTATATACTTACATACATAATTTTTTAGTTTCATTTTTATTAATAAAAATATTAATAATAAAAAAAAAATTTGTTTATACTTGCAGACTAAGTGATTTACCAGAAATTAAGATGCAAATTAATAAAACAATTAATCAAATATCTTTAGCTAGTTGGTTAGATGAACATGCTTATACTAGATCAATTGAAAGTATTTTACAAAAAGATGGGAGTATACGATTAATTGGAGAAAAATTAGAATATTTACCAGATCAAATACTATTAGTTTGTGGACCACTGACTACATCATTGAATTTAAGTGATAATAATTTTAGTGATTTGACATTTTTATCACATTTTGGAAATTTACATACATTAATTTTCAACAAAAATTATAATTTAAATGAATTGACGTTACCTTACATGCCCACATTAAGAGCTTTATGGTAAGTTAATTAGAAGAATAAATTAGTATCTACTATATTATAGCATTTATAATGTAAGCTATTTTTTATGTTTTAGGCTCAACAACTGTGGAATATCAAATATAATTAAATGGGTTAAAAGAATAAAAATTCAGTGTCCTAATCTTGTTGTTTTATCAATATCAAATCAAGGGAATATTGAATCAGCAATGACATCGGAACAGTTACGTTTAAAAATTATTCATTATTTACCTAATTTATGTATATTGGATAATATTGAGGTTACAAAAGATGAAATATTTGAAGCATTTCCACTTACAGAAAATGTTTTTAATCGTGTTGTTTCGAAATTTCGTCGTAGTTGGGCACATCAATCATCTCCAACAACCGATAAACTGATTTCAAATTTCCACGAACTATAAATTTTAAACCTAAGAAGTTTTCAACCGTATTTCGTATGTTTATGACTGATTTTTATTGAACTCAAGACTGCAGAGTCTGTAGGATATTTTTATTATGTAAAAAATGTATATAATTTAGGGTAATATTGTTTCGAATATAAATAATTAGTATATAAATACATAATGTGTATAGTATAACAATATAGAAAATATATACATATGTTTGTGTATATTATTATATCTTAAATTTTCTAACTTTTATTTATATTATTAAAGTTGTAAAAAAATTAATTGTGCTTATATGATAAAGGAAAATAAATTCTAATTATAGTTATGATTTTAAAATTATTCATTGTTTAGAGTTGTAAGATTATTGAATCCAGTCTGAACACAAACTGAATTCCAAATTTATCTTAAGGTATCTATTAAATTTTGCAGCTATGATCAGTTTGAAGATTTAGATTTTAAACTACATTTAAGGGAAATCTCTCATAAATTAGAGGTCGAAAGTCATTCATCAATAAAGAATGGGAAATCAATAAAGTTATAGAAAAATAATGAAGATGAAAATTTATAAATATAAAAGAAAACATTCTATTGAAGTTTATTTCCCTAAACATATAAATATTTGACAATGACATTGAAAATAGAAATCTATTCTAAATATTTTCTCAAATTTTTAACATTAAAAATCTTTAAAAATTGAAATATAATAAAAATTACAAATTTTTATAAAACTTAAAATTTAAAATTAAATATTTGAAACATTGTAAAAGTATAAAATTATTTGATTAAATGTTTTCTAAAATCGATTAAGCAATTTCAATTAAACATTCTATATATTTGCGTTGTTAACTTGTTGTTGAACTTTGACACGAATTTCTACGCTTCGAGTTAAAACGGAACAGATCTTTAAAACTTTCTGCTACAATTTTTTTTCTTTTATTTTGACCACTATTACTTAAGTCTCTTTTATTCGATTTATTATTGTCCTTTGGACTCCAGTTTATCATTTTACGTGGATTGTAATGCTGATGATATTGTTGTTGGCTATTATGTAAATAAAAGCTTTTAACAGAAGTTGATGATGATAGTTTTGGTGTATGAGGCACAAAAGTAGAATTCATTGTATTATTTTTAAAAATTGATGTATTATTATTGTTATACTGATTAGATTTGGTTATTTGAATTGTTGTTTGATGTTGTAATAATGAAGTTGTAATAATTTCTGTTCGTTGTTGACTTTGTGGTACTGTTGGATATGTCGATGTTGAATTCATTGTAATTACAGGAATCCCATCAAGATGGGTAAGTGTTTTCAAGGTTTCAGTAACGAATAATCTGTAATCATATTCTTCCATAGCATTAGCTCCAGTTAGTAAGGTTCTTGCTCCAGGATTTCCAATTAATGATAATTGTTTAATATTTTGGCATTGTAATTGAATTCTATAAATCCATTTTGGTACGTTGATAATATTACAATTATTTAACCTGAAATTAAAAAATAATACCATTATAATATTACAGTTTTACCAATCCAACTAAATTATTTTACACTTACCACAAGATTTCCAAATTAGGTAAGTATGGCAAAGTTGTTTCGTCGGGTTCTGGATTTTTATCTAATATTAATGTATTTAATCCTTTGAAATATGATAAAAATGAGAGATCCTTGAATTTATTAAAACTCAAATCTAAAAATTTTGTATCATTTGAGAAATTTGCAGCAATTTTTGGTGGAATATTCTGTAAATTTTCATATGCTAATGATATTCTACCATCTTTGCCTAAGACACTGTTTTCACTATATAATTCTGGAATAGTTGTTGAATCAGCTATTGCTAACATTTTGAAATAATCATGTAATGCGTCTTGAGCAGTCAATTCATTAATACAATCATTGAGTTCAACCTCAGATTGTTTATTAATACAATCAGTTAAGACCTTGAAAATTAAATCACTGAAAGCAGAAAGCAATTGTGTAGTTTTATAAGTAAGTGTATATATATTTTTTTAGTTATTAAAGTGAATTATTCAACTATTATTTTTGAAATAATAAATAAATTACCCTTACAAGTTAATAAATTTAAATATGAAAAATTATTTTGCTAAATTATTTTTTAGGTAAGACCTTATTTCAATGCAAAAGTAAGTATATGTATGTATATGTGTACGTATTAAAATCTGGCGGAATATTACTCGATTCTAAAAAATAACGTTATCTACTCTCAATTCGTTTTGAATTTGTATATTGAAATGAAACTCTTAGAGAGAAAAAAAGTGTTGACAAACAAAATAACAAAGTAAATTACTCCAGCAAAACAATAGTGCTGCCGTTTACATTTTCTATTGCATTTTTATATAATTTTGTTTTGCTTTTAATAAACGATAAGATTATCTTACCGCCTATCATTTTATTAAAACTGATGAAAAGAATGAAATTGATTATTAATATTCGAACTTAATGCTGAACGGTTAATTAATAAAGTAAATTGTTGACCTAAAAATTATTTTTCAGTACACAAATATTTTTGTTATTGAAAGTTAAAATTTAACTTCTAATTAATTTCTACCCATACAAAACTACCAACACGATTATTGAATGTTGCACGAATAACAATTTAAGAAATCGGCAAATAATTATGTGGTACATGTTTTCGGTTATTTCAAATATTTTGTGCATATTGAATCATGCAAATGTGGAAACTAAAACATTTTTAGAATTTAGTTAAAAATTATTTTTGTTTATCAGTTTTCTGTACGCGTTCGATTCGACTACGGTGTCATGCATTAGGTTCGAACAATATCACACCTTACATAACGTTTTTATACAAGTCTCTAGTTTAAATGTTGAATCGTCTGATTTGGGTTTTTTGTGATGTTTGGAGAAGGCAATTCTTCGTACTATGAATTCTTTTTTTGACTTTCAAATTTCATCAAGTTTTTGTGATAGATTTATGTATAAAAAAAAAATTAATAAAAATAAGAAAAAATATTAAAATATAATTTTTATTTATCGAAAATTATGTGAAAAATTTCCAATTTCAAAGTGATTTTCAAAAAGTATCGATATAATTAAAACCATTCACAATCGACCGAGAAATTTAACTCTCCAATGTTTACGCATTCATTGGTATTATAATATTTTAGTTTAGGTATGCATTCATTGGTATTATATTTTAGTAACACTCAACAAAAATTTTATCAAAGTAGTAAAAAAAATAAATAAAATTTCATATGGCTATGAGGCTCCTGAGCGAGCTCCTTTAAAAATTTAAAATTTTTAAAGTTTGCTTTTTTTACATACAAAGTGAATAAATTAAAAAAAATATCTGCAATCAATTCCCGATTTTTGACTCAGAGAAATGAGGTTTTAAATCACTCTATGATTATTTGGCATTTATTTTTATAATTTGTCACTTGTTGGTAAACTCACCTTTGGCAATTACCCATTTCTTAAAAAAAAATATTTACATTTTATTCTCTAACTATTATTGTATTTATGTTTTATTCGTAAGTGAAAAAAAATTAAAAATTATAATAAATTTTAAATATTTTTCACGAATTGTTTTTGAAAAAAAATATTTCTAATAATTTTATTATCTGCTTTTTTTTGTTTATTTAATATTATTTAAGAAATAAAAGGAAAACTGATATGTTAATGTACTCCTGTTTTAAATGCAATTAAATTTTCAAAACTATTCACATTTTCGTTTTAATTTTGCGTTCGTCAATCAATTCGGTATAACAAAAAATTTTATTGCATATTTACTTCTATTATACTATATACTTATATTAGTTTACACATAGTTAAAATGCCCTAATATGATTATCAATAGTGTATATAAGTTTGTGATTTTTATATGCAATATATAAACTTTTAATTAACTTTGTTAGTCTGGTAATATTAAATTAAAATATTCTCAAAATTTACCACAATATTTGTATTATATTTATTTATAACACTTTATAACATTTTAACTTATGTAAATATTTGTATAACTTACTCGGGTGATTCATTATTTTCTGCACTATCTCCAAAAACACAATTTTTTAGATCCTTATTAAAAATAAAAGAATCGATTTCTAAATTCGATTCTAACATGATCTTTGACTTCTAGCTTAAATATGTTATTATTTTTGTGTGTATATTAAATTTAATTTGAATAGAAATTGTATTTTAATGCTATAAAGCTACACTTTTTAAAAGATAACAGTTTTATGTTATTTTTTATTTGCACATTCAAATATAAATATTTGAAATGTATATAGATATTTTATAGTCCAAGGTATTTTTAAAAAAAATTTGTTCTATATTCCGCACTCATGTATATAAAGATGAATTTTAATTAAAAAATAAATATTTAAAAAAATTTTTTAAATGTATAGACAGAAAATTGTGTCTGGAACGATTTTATTTCGCGTCTGTACAAATTCTGACTATATGAATAAGATGCAAAATATTACTTTTAGAATACAACACAGATAACAACCGAATAACAGATCAGAAATCATAAACATTTACGTGTTATATACTGAAAACAAATTCATAAATCTGAAGTATTCGTATGTGTACATATTATACACATATTATACATATATACTTATACCTACATGTAGCCATATCAATTTTCTAATTTACCTACATATTTTTATTACATACTTTTATAAACACTATATTGACCGATAAGGCGATTATGTTATACTGTTCTTCTTTTCTTTGTTTGATTAGTGATGATAAGAATACAATAAAGGCATTCTACGCATTTAAGAAGAGTAAAAACTCTGTAAGACAGAAATAAAGAGAACTAGTTATAGTATTGCGATGAACACACTTGAGAAAAGATGTTTCTAATCGAAATACTTGCATAAAAATTATTTTTTGAGAAAATTTAAAGATATTTTTTTTATGATTGATGTATTTTTGATTTTGAGTGTACCTATAGTGCACATCTTGAGTGTACATATAGTGCACATCTACCTGATTGAGTGTACCTATAGTGCACATCTACCTACAATATATTATTTAAAATTGATGCAAAAAATAAGTATTCTTAATTGAGGTGCATTATGATAATATGCGATTTGCATTAGTTGTATACGGCGAGGAAATGAATATAAATTATCAGAATGTTTTAAGGTACATGCTTACCTTAAGATACCTGAAAACTTTTTATGCCCAAATGAACATACGGTAATATTACTCTTATTTTAATGTTAAAATGTATTGGACTGGTATATAGAAGTGTGTATATGTATGTATATGCGTATATATACATTTCGAATCCTCAGTGTCTCAGCCTATATTCTTCAAAAATTAAGTTGTTATTGTAGGTTTTAGCAGAAATCTTAGGAGCTGTAAGTGGTTCATCTAAAACCAAGTTGCATATTCTAAAAACTTAAATTGTGCTTATCTTTAAACATGAATAATAATATACGAGTATAAAAAGAAAAAAATTATTGTTCTTGCATATGTATTTCTTCTAGGTACGACAGATTAATAGAATCGATATGAGGAATTCTTCTTATTTAATAAATATTTTATAATTTATAAAACCAATGGTAATTATAATATTGATACGCATTTGAATTCGAGGATTGAATGAACTTTAACTCCTTTTTTTTATAAATTAAAGTAGGTTTATTTCTGGTCATAAAATGAACAGAATGTGTTTTTTATATTTATATTAACATTGTATGTAAATTTTAAGCAGAAGCATTCATTATAGTACAAGATATGTGCAAATATGTAAATATATTCATACTTGACTTGTATACTTATTCAAATGCATCATGGATAGACAATTCATTAAGGAGATTTTTTAATGATTATGGGAAATTAACGAGAAAATATATTAAATATACAATAATTTTTTGTAATATTACAAAATTATTTAATTAAATTATTCAATTTAAAGTGAATACGTTATTAAGTAAATTTTAGAGTAAATATATGTATGTATGTATGACGCTTATACTACAGCAGTAGTAACCCTTCCATACATATTTTATATTAGAGTTTACTTTAAATTTGAAATACCTATTAGTTGTTTGAATACGGCAGGCTAGTCTGAATACCTGCCTAGTTAACTGTATGACGCTGTGAAACTAGTACATGATATCATGCACTACCCCTATACTCCTCCTAGGAGTGAAGAAGGAAAAAAAAATTAGTTGTTTGAAACGTTAATTAGCCACTTGAAGATTTTACACGATTAATTGCAATGAAAACATTGTGTCGTTTGCATTAAATAGTAAAATTGTCATCTTATACGATAACCCCCCCCCCCCCCCCCCTTCTCTTATATCGGTTATATATCTACCTAACATATGTACGTATGTATGTGTAATGGAAAAATTTGTTTAATTGAGGGACGAGATAACTTCGACCGCATGTTTAGTGCTACAAAAATTAAAAAACGAAATTCGTTTCGTAGCCTTAGTTTGCCTGTCTTAAGGGCATTTAGTTCAAATTAATCTTCATTGAAAACCTGCTTTTTCCTCAAATCTTTGGCACCATTTTCCTCGCCATCAAATCATACACATATACTTTAACAAAGATTGAAAAGAAATTTTAATAATGATTAAAAAAGTAAATTATTTCTTTTTGTTGAAATCGACATTTTTTTTGCACTTACGAAAATTCACTCTTTTAAATTTATTCATATGATATTAAGCCTGTGTTTATAATTTTTAAAATTTTTTATACTTCTCCTAAACTTATGCAAAAAGAATATATTAAGAAAATATTCAAATAAAAATTAGTTTTATTGTATTCTTTTTAAAGAGGAACTATGCTACCTAATTACAAGACATTGGATACAAAATGACTTCTTATATTCTCTCTATTAAAATATTAGAAATTGCTTTATAAAAATTCAAATAACTTCTTCAATTCAATATTGTAAAATAATGAGAGTTATGCTCAATACCATTGTAATATAAATCAAATTGCATATACAATAAAATTAAAAATAAAAGAAAACTTGTTGAAAAATAATGTAAGTTAATAAAAATTGTCACATATTCATGCAATAAACGTATTGAGAAAAGCGATTCTATGAATAAAAAATGAAAATACTGAAATAAATTCCAATACAATATCAACGTTTATAATAATAAAAAGTATAGCAACAACAATTTTCAAAATAAGAGCAAAAAAATGTTTATGTTTACGAGTCTTCCACATAAATCCGCTTATAAACACTATGCTTGTTGAATTTTTTATAAAATTTTGTTTTTGATTTTTATTTTTTTTTTAACTGCAATCTGAAAATTTTTGATAAAATTTTGCTACGTGATATTGAATTTTATATGCACGTTTTTTTCTTACCAAAATTTGTTTTTTGTTTCTTCGCTGATATTGCAAACTTAAAATAACTGGTATTGGAATTTCTCTATAAAGTTCTATTAGTATTTTACTCAAAATAACGGAGGATATTTTTTTGTTCGAAAGCATTTTTAATAAAAAAACTCAATGTAAAATTTTTTGAAACACAAAAATTATATTGTAAATTCAAAAACAAAGTTAAAATAATTGTGCAAATATCTATTTCATCTGTATATAACATAACCATAACGTATTGATTGCAAGTTTTCGAAAATGTATGTCTTACTTTTGACATAGATTCAAAGTATGTAGAAAAGGGTAGATTGGGGGATATAACGAGCACGTTTTACTCGCTATGAGGTAAAAGCACTAAAGATGATATTTTCGGACTAAAACAATTTTTTTTTCCAAATTTTTACCTATTATGTGGTTTTACAAATTTTCATCTAGAAATGTTGATTTTCCAATTTAAAATTTTAAAATATAATGGCAAATTAAAAATCACACACATTTCAAAAGCCAAATTAATACTCGTAATACTTTTATAAAATTTTTATAACAAAAAAAATTAACAAGGGCTTTAACAAAATAATAATTATTACAAATTTTTTTCGGAGTTGCATTTGTGTATACTTGGAGCCACATAAAAATTAGCTTGATTTTCTTGGGGTATGCGTGATCTAGCTACATACTATACACTGCTATATTTTCCATAGCCCGGTGCTTATTATATCCCCGATTTACCCTTACTATAAATGTAATAAAATATATACATTGATACTATTGTATGTAGTATTTATAAAATAAATTTATTATTGAATTTCATTTTTATAAAATAAAGTATTCAGTAAGAAACTATAAAAGAGTTGATTATTTTCAGAAAATTGTGATCAATAAAAATGTTGAATTTAGTTTTCATGAAATTACACATTGTAATAAAAATGCTACATAATATTGACTTTGATATGAATTTAAAATTTTGTTTTTTTGAATATTAATAAAAATAATAATTTAATTGAAAGGATCGAAACAAAATAAATTTGCATGTAAGAAATATGAAGATCTTGAGAAATTTTTATGGTATTGTAAAAATTTTGTATTATTCTCTAAACTCGATTTTTATGTGAACAAAATTTTAAAGCAATAGACAAAATTAAAAATTAATTAAAAAAACAATTAAATTCTTTAAAAATAATCGCAAGTGAATTTATTAAATTTTCCTTGCTGAGTTGTACATTATGTGTGCGTTTACAAACAAAAAATGTAAAAGTATTGGATTGGACTAAGAAAATCTACAGCATTTATAGAATGAAGCTTACAGTACTCAAAAAACATTCAATGCTATATTTGAGAAACTTTGGTTTAACATAAATATTTGTTTGAAGGATCAATTCAAAATTTTTAGCACTTTTGGTTATGATCTTTATCAAAAAAGAAATAAGTAATTTTACTACAAATGATAATCGTCTTCTATAAGTTGTGTTTTCAGCAGTATGCTAGGAGATAAAGTAGGTAGAAATTTTGTTCAACAAAGAGTAATTTCTTTAATAAAATCAAACCGTCCATAAAAGTATGGTAATGAAGCCCTTCTTACGTTTAACTTAAAAATTTCACTCACATGTTACACGTGCCTCTATTCCTACACATATGTAAAACTATTTTGTTTCTCAGCAAGAAGGTACTTTACCAACAATATACTCGTAATTTTGTTATATTTGTCTAATAAATGGAAAAACATTAACTTTGGCGGCTACTGCCAGCAAAATGGTGCAAGTTGTTGATTTATTTTTGAAACAAGGTGTACTTCAATTACTGATAACAATAGATTTTACATACATGTGTGGATCTAAGACAAGTTTTCGATTTCTACTCATCTTAATATTAAAAATTATCTTGATATATGAATTCTAAAATATGTAAAATTGTATGTAACTTAATGTAACTAT